AAATCAGAAGGAATTTTATAGTGGGAAATTGCATGGGCAGAAGCAACATTGGCCCCCTAAAGACTGAAAGTGGGGATATCGTCCGTGGTTATGGGTTGGCTGATATGCTGAATAATTACTCTGCCTCAGTAGAAAAGGAAGATTGCTTGCTGGAAGTCCTGAGGAAATTAATAGGAAAATAGAAAACTAAGGAAAACAAGGGAATTACAAGCCAGTCAGCCTCAGATCAGTGGTGGGGATAACTGTTGATGTCTAAAATCAAGAATGGTTTAACTTAATACCTTGAAAATTTTCAGTTAGTTAATCAGGGAGAGGCTGCATGGATTCACAACAGCTCAGTCATTCCTGACAAACCTCACTGAATTTTTTGAAGAGGTGACTAAGGTAGTGGATTGGAGAATCTCTGTAGATATTGTTTATCAAATGCCTTGCAGAAGTCCATATAAAGTCCCACTTAAGAGGGCAAATTATTGACATGATGGGGAAATTGGTTGAGTGGCAGGCGACAGAAAGTAGGAATAATGGACAGGTACTTAAATTGGCAGGTGATCAGTGATGTTTTGTAAGGGTGTGTGTTAGGGTCTGAATTATTTATTAATGACTTGGATAATGGCATGGAAAGTTACATATCCAAATTTGATAACAACACAAAGTTCGATGGCATTACATCAATGTAGATAATAGCATAAAATTATAAATGGATATTGACAGACTCAGTGAATGAGCAAAACTGTTACAGATAGAGAAAATGTAAGCAAATAGGAAGCTATCCATTTTGGACTTGAAAAGGATGAAGTTAAATACAGTGGATGTCCAAAGAAACTTGGAGGTTCAGGCACGTACATCTTTAAAACGTCACAAACATGCAGAAAATAATCAAGATGCCTAATGGAATGCTCGGCTTTATATTTAGAGGACTGGAGTATATAGCAGAAGTTATGCTGCAGTTAGACAAATCCTAGTTAAACCCCACTTGGAGTACCATGAACAGATGTGAGTACCACACCTAAGGAAGGATACAGTGGCCTTGGAGAGAGTAGAACATAGGTTTACAAGAATGATACCTGGACTTCAGGGATTAAATTACAAGGAGAGATTATACAAATTAGTCAAGTTTTTATAGAATCTCTACAGTGTGGGAACAGGCCATTTGGCCCAACAAGTCCACACTGACTCTCAGAACAGCATCCCACTCAGACCCATCCCCGACACTTCGCCTGCGACCCTGCATTTTTCCCCATGGCTAATCCACCTAATTTACATATCCCTGAACACTGTGGACAATTTAGCATGGCCTAAACCTGCACATCTTTGGACTGTGGGAGGAAACCAGAGCATCCAGAGGAAACCCACGCAAACAGAGTTTTGACCAGAATTTTGAATGTTAAGGGGTGAGTTGATCAAAGTGTTCAAGATATTAATAGGAAGTGTCAGGGTTTATAAAGATAAACTATTTCCATGGTTGGGGATTCTAGAATTAGAAGGCATAGTCTGAAAATTAGGACCAGACCATTCGGGAGAGATGTATACAAGTGCTTCCTAACATGAAGGGTGGTAGATGTTTGGAGCACTCTTCCACAAATCACAGTGGATGCAGGATCAGTTGTTGATTTTAAAAGTGAGATGGATAAAGTTTTGTTCGTAAAAGTGTTAAGGGATATGGGCCAAAGACGAATATCTGGATTTAGGCTACAGATCAGCTATGATCGGAGTGAGCAGAGAAGCAGACGCGAGGGAGCGAATAGCCTACTCCTCTTCCTATAACTTCTAAGTGCGACTAAAATTGAAATTCAAGGAATTGAAGGCAAATTATTACCTTGATTAGGAAATTGGGGGTCGCAGGAAATAGAGATAACAGGTAAGTATTAATTGGAAGTATGTGATGAATGGCGTTTCACTGGCACCTGTGTTCAGAACTCAACCAGTCACCATATTTATTTGTGACTCGGATGATGGAATAAAAGCCCAAATTTGATGAGGACAAGGATAAGCGCTATTGTAAGCAATGTGAAATATAACCATAAAGCTTCCTAGATATAAAAAGATTCAAAATAGACAAAGCTGGCAAACAGACTCCAATTTAGGCAGTTAGAAGTTCATGCATATTGGACATAAAAAGGAGAGAAGAGTTGATGAAAAGCTAGAAATTGTGGAAGGTCCAAAGACACTTGAAAGACCACCCACACACACTTCATTTATATATAAAATATATAAATATGGGCCAAAGTCAGTTAGGCCACAAAATCAGCCATGATTTCACTGAATGGTGGAAACAGGCTCAAGGAGCTAAATGATCTACTCCTGATTCTATGTTCCTAACATCAACAAAGCTAATTGAATGCTGGCTTTGTACTCAGGATTAGACATGAACGCACAAAAAAGTAATGCTTAACTAATGCAAAGTTCTGGGTAGGCCATACTCAATGACCCAATTCTGGGCACAATACCTCAGGGTGGTTATGTTGGCCTTGGCAGGAATGCAGTGTACATTTACCAGATGATTAAGACTAGATTACACGAGGTATTATAAAAACTGAGTTCACATTCTTTGGAGTTCAGAGGTTTAAGGGACAATTTTATACTGTCAAAATATTAAGAAAAATTGGTTATGTAGTCGGGAAGAAATTAATCTCCTAGTTTCATTATCTAGAACTGGGGCATTGTCTAAAAATTGGAACTAGAAGGGTGGCAGAAGTCTTCCACTAGTATTTATGAATGCAAGGTGAATTTTTTATTTAAATCTGGTATTTTTGTTCAAAAATATTAAAGGATATGGGATGAAGGTCTGTGGAGTTCAATCAATTAATCAGAGCTACAACCTTTCTGACTAGTAAACAAACTCGATGGGTTTAATCACCCATTCCTATGTTGCTAGGGAAGGCAGGCAATAGCTCATACAAACAGTGGGTGTCCAAGAAGAATTATCCAATCAAGTTCCTCCAAAGTTTTACCAAGTGTTTTGCATTACTAATTTAACACACACAATTGATAAAACATGGCAGCATTATTTTCCTAGCTGATATTAATAATGGACAAGTCAGATCCGAAACTGAAATCTGGCTTAATTGTTTAAAAAAAAATTAAGTGGTCTTTCACTGAAAGCAAGCACACAATGCAAGGATTTGATTTTAACAATAAAACAGAAGTTATTATGCAAGATTTAAAAAAGAACAAATCAAGCTATTTATAATAACAATGAAAAATTTTGAAACAGTAAAAACATGATCCCAATACCACTTTACAGTATCAAACACCAGAGAGACTTTGCTTCTTTATCATATCTTAAGTTAAACTTAATGGTTTCTTTCCATTCCCAGTCTTGACAGGTGGGTAGTCTTTTCCAGGATTATTACACAACTGAGTTTAAACCTTCTCAGTTTCTAGTGACCCCTTCAGGGTTCTAACCAAACAGTTCTGGTCTGAAAATTTTAAATTAAAATTCTTAAATTGAGGTAACTTAACAGTTTGGAAATAACTCTGTTTTCTCTGAGAAACTATTTTGTACATCTAACTCAAAATCAGAATTTCTGTGAGCCAAAAACAAAAGCTTTCCAAGTTGTTCTTACCCCAGGCAAAAACAAAATCCCGTTACTTCTAAACAGTAAGCAAACTAATGCTCAAATGTTTACTCTGTCCATTCATAAAACTCTCCCACAATGCAAACTAATTCCCATCACCACGATAGGGGCACGCTCTTACATACTGGTTTATTAAATCCCCTTTGATACACCAGCAAAAATACATAGGAACCAATTCAAAATCCAAGCTCCAAAATAAATTATATCATATATAAATTGCACACTTCACATTACAGCAGATAATGCTTTATATTTGCCTCTTTGCATCATACTTAATGGAAGCTCGCAAGTAAAATAAGAAAATATCAAGTCCCTATGTTGAAAATCAGTGCTTAAGGTAAGGTAAAGGTTGCCACAGTCTTATCAGGCCACAGGCTTTACAGTAAAGATAGGGGTAAATGGTGGTAGCTTAACCAGAGGATCACAATTTCTTGGCAAGGGCAGAGAGACTTGGGGGTTCTAGTGCAGGATTCTTTCAAGGTAAACTTGCAGGTTGAGTCAGTAGTTAGGACTTGAATACAAAAGTAGGGATGTACTTCTGAGGCTCTATAAGGCTCTGGTCAGGCCACACTTGGAGTATTGTGTGCAGTTTTGGGCCTCATATCTCAGGAAATATGTGCTGAATCCACTCCAGGGCCAGAGGAGGTTCACGAGAATGGTCCCAGGAAAGAAAAGGAACATATGAGGAATGTTTGAGGACTCTGGGTCTATACTCGGAGTTTAGAAGGATGAGGGGGGATCTAATTGAAACTTCCAGAATATTGAATGGCCTGGACAGAGGGGATGTTGGGAAGATGTTTCCATTGGTAGGACAGACTGGGACTCAACGGCACAGCTGTAGAGTAAAGGAAAGACCTTTTAGAATGGAGATAAAGAGAAGAGAAACTTCTTCAGCCAGAGAGTGGTGAGTCTATGGAATTCACTGCCACAGAAGGCTGTGGAGGCTAGGTCTTGAGTATATTTAAGGCAGAGATAGATAGGTTCTTGGTTGGCAAGGATTTAAGGGTTACGGGGAGAAAGTGGGAGAATGGAGTTGAGAAACTTATCAACCACGACTGAATGGCGGAGCAGACTCGATGGGCTGAATGACTTAATTTCTGCTTCTATGTCTTATGGTCTTATAAAGGGGAGAGGGTGAGAAGGAGAATCTTTCATGAGTCATGAGCAGAAAACATGAACCAAAATGGATGTCAAATAAAATACTGAAGCATTGACATGTGAAAGTTTAATTTAACACAATGGAGCCTAAAAATTCCTAGGAAGTCGGTCTTCAATATCAGTCTTTTGTGTACTATTAATTTGATTTCTTTAGAATAAGACTTTCTTAGCTAACGGTCTAATTCTATAATTCTGAACACAAAATTCAAGCCAGCCCGCAGGATTACATGTATATGTAATGAAAATAATGAATTTAAAACTTACCTTTATAAATCTCTGATTTCTCTCTGTTTGCTATCTCCAGAAAGTCTTCAATTAAATCCAATGATATGAGGGACTGGCTGAATACAAGTCTGAAATTGGATACACATGTGTTATGGGGTTCAACACAAAATGACAACATTACTCGGTTAAATAGGAAGGTGTAATTATATTCCATTATTAGAGGGGACAGGGTAGGTGGGAAGAGAAGTAAGGAAAGCTTTAGCATAATTGGATTTGAGTAATACTCATTATGGGAACCTATTGGTAATAATATTTTCCTGCTCTTATTTTACTATACAGAAACTAGAACTGGTACCTTGGGCAAACAGAATGTCTCATCAAGCAACATACTGCAATTTTTTTACTGTGCTGCCACTAATAACTTATTTGTCATGACTGCTTTTAAAACCATTTCAAATAAATATTACTTGAACTTCAATTTAGACAATTAGTCAGTCATAACGGTATACAAAACATGGAAACAGACCCTTCGGTCCAAATTGTCCATCCCAACCAGATATCCTAAACTAATTTAGTCCCTTTGCCAGTATTTGGCCCATAACTCTAGAACCCTCCTATTCATATACCCATCCAAAAGCCTTTCAAATGTTGTATCTGTACCTACCTACACCACTTTCTGTCCGTTGTTCCATACACGCACTGCCACTGCGTGAAAATGTTACCCCTCAGGTCCCTTTTAAATCTTTCCCCTCTCACCTTAAATCTATGCCCTCTAGTTCTGGACTCCTCTACCCTGGGAAAAATACCTCAGTAATTCACCCTATCCACGCTCATGATTTTATAAAACTCTTTATGGTCACCCTCAGTCTCTGAAGCTCCAGGGAAAGAAGCACCAGCTTATTCAGCCTCTCCCTATAGCTCAAATATTCTAATCCTGGCAAGATCCTTGTAAATCTTTTCTGAACCCTTTCAAGTTTAACAACATCTTACCTATGACAGGGAGATCAGAACTGAACGCAGTATTCTAAAACGGCCTAACCAATTCCTGTACAGCTGCAGCATGACATCCCAACTCCTCTCCTCCATGCACTAACCAATGAAGGCAAGAGTGCCAAATGCCTTCTTCACTACCCTGGCTACCTGCAACTCCACTTTCAAGGAATTATGCACCTGCAGCCCTAGGTCACTTTGTTCTGCAACACTCCCCAGGGCCCTACCATTAACTGCACAAGTCCTGCCCTGACTTGCCTTATCAAAATGCTCAAAACCCTCGACAAGGCAATACGTAGAACAACTTCAACATTACGAAGAACTCAATTTATAAACATCCACTCAATAAATCCACAGGGAAAAGCAGTATAACTTTCAACCCAAATGCCAGACCAAATAATGTGCGACTTTATTCACAAGGTTGGAAACTGCACAACTCAATCTTATGGCTAGGGATTTGAGGTTCAAGGCAGACTGACAGTTCAGCATTGTTGCTACTGCCTGAGAACATGCTCTGATAAAGTCATCGTCTGCTCATGAAGTGTAGTGCCCCATCACCCCAAAATAATTGATCTTGGGAGTTGAGGTGCTAAAACTGGCAGTCAACTGATTTCTTATTAGATTATATGGAGCAACCAATGACCTTCATTACTTCAAGGTAGTTAAGACAATTCCATCACTAGCTCAAAGAATTCAACCTAAGGGCCATTGTACTATATTTGTAAAGAATTCAGCATGTACAAGATATACAGAAAATCTATGTACTTGTAAGATAGCAAACTGTTGTACATCTTGAAACTTGCAAAAGGACTGAAAAAGGTTGAAATATTGATATATTCTTATATTAAACCAATATGCAAACATACAACTGTTATTATTCTGTTGAAATAAAATGGTCAACCAAGACATTGACCAGAATTAGTAGTTACATGTGTTTCCATTCTTAAGTTTTCAGAAAAATAATTGACCCAATGAACTAGAGGCTACAAATTTTAGATCTTTAATCTAATTGACTCGAATCAGTTAAATACTGCTGCATGTTAACAGATATCTTCCTACACATTTACATTGGAATACAAGACAACAAGGTGCAGGGCTGGATGAACACAGCAGGCCAAGCAGCATCATAGGAGCAGAGAGGCTGACGTTTCGGGCCTAGACCCTTCATCAGAAAAGGGGGAGGGGAAGGAGGTTTTGAAATAAATAGGGAGAGAGTGGGAGGCGGATAGAAGAGGGATAGAGGAGAGGATAGGTGGAGAGGAAACAAACAGGTCGAAGAGGCGGGGATGGAGCCAGTAAACGTGAGTGTAGGTAGGGAGTTAGGAAGGGGATAGGTCAGTCCAGGGAGGACGGACAGGTCAAGGGGGCGGGATGAGGTTGGTCGGTAGGAGATGGAGGTGCGGCTTGAGGTGGGAGGAGGGGATAGGTGGGAGGAAGAACAGGTTAGGGAGGCAGGGACGAGCTGGACTGGTTTTGGGATGCGCTAGGGGGAGGGGAGATTTTGAAACTTGTGAAATCCACATTGATACCATTGGGCTGCAGGGTTCCCAAGCGGAATACGAGTTGCTGTTCCTGCAACCTTCGGGGTGGCATCGTTGTGGCACTGCAGGAGGCCCAGGATGGACATGTCGTCTGAGGAATGGGAGGGGGAGTTGAAATGGTTCGCGACTGGGAGGTGCAGCTGTTTATTGCGAACCGAGCGTAGGTGTTCTGCAAAGCGGTCCCCGAGTCTCCGCTTGGTTTCCCCGGTGTAGAGGTAGCCACACCGGGTACAGCGGATGCAGTATACCACATTAGCAGATGTGCAGGTGAACATCTGCTTGATGTGGAAAGTCTTCTTGGGGCCTGGGATGGGGGTGAGGGAGGAGGTATGGGGGCAGGTGTAGCACTTCCTGCGGTTGCAGGGAAAAGTGCCGGGTGTGGTGGAGCTGGAGGGGAGTGTGGAGCGGACAAGGGAGTCACGGAGAGAGTTGTCCCTCCGGAAAGTAGATAAAGGGTGGGGAGGGAAAGATGTCTTTGGTGGTGGGGTCGGATTGCAGATGGCGGAAGTGTCGGAGGATGACGCGTTGGATCCGGAGGTTGGTGGGGTGGTATGTGAGGACGAGGGGGATTCTTTTTTGGTTCTTATTGCGTGGACGGGGTGTGAGGGATGAGGTGCGGGAGATGTGGGAGACACGGTTGAGGGCGTTCTCGACCACCGAGGAGGGGAAGTTACGGTCCTTGAAAAACGAGGACAACCGAGATGTATGGGAGTGGAATGCCTCATCCTGGGAGCAGATGCGGCGGAGGCGAAGGAATTGGGAATAGGGGATAGCATTTTTGCAGGAAGGTGGGTGGGAGGAGGAGTATTCTAGGTAGCTGTGGGAGTCGGTGGGCTTGAAATGAATATCGGTTTCTAGGTGGTTGCCCGATATGGAGACAGAGAGGTCCAGGAAGGGGAGAGAGGTGTTAGAGATGGTCCAGGTAAACTTAAGGTTGGGGTGGAAGGTGTTAGTGAAGTGTATGAACTGTTCGAGCTCCTCGTGGGAGCACGAGGCAGCGCCGATACAGTCATCAATGTAACGGAGGAAGAGGTGGGGTTTAGGGCCGGTGTAGGTACGGAAGAGGGATTGTTCCACGTAACCTACAAAGAGGCAGGCGTAGCTTGGGCCCATGCGGGTACCCATGGCTACCCCCTCTGTCTGTAGGAAGTGGGAGGAATTGAAAGAGAAGTTGTTGAGTGTGAGGACGAGTTCGGCTAAGCGGATGAGGGTATCAATGGAGGGGGACTGGTCGGGCCTGCGGGACAGGAAGAAGCGGACGGCCTTAAGGCCATCTGCATGGGGAATGTAGGTGTAGAGGGACTGGACGTCCATGGTAAAGATGAGGTGTTGGGGACCGGGGAATTGGAAGTTCTGGAGGAGGTGGAGGGCGTGGGTGGTGTCACGGACATAGGTAGGGAGTTCCTGGACCAAGGGGGAGAAAATGGAGTCTAGATAGTTGGAGATCAGTTCGGTGGGGCAGGAGCAGGCGGAGACAACGGGTCGACCAGGGCATTCAGGTTTGTGGATTTTGGGAAGGAGATAGAAGCGGGCAGTGCGAGGTTGGGGAACGATGAGGTTGGAGGCCGTGGGTGGGAGGTCACCTGAGGTGATGAGGTTGTGGATGGTTTGCGAGATGATGGTTTGGTGCTCAGGGGTGGGGTCATGATCAAGGGGGCGGTAGGAGGAGATGTCGGAGAGTTGGCGTCCGGCCTCGGCGATACATTGGAATACATCCTGTTTTACTGTCCCCCAGTGTCCCAATTGCATATTACGAGCTCAGTTAGAAACTTGAATTTCAATAGATACACATTTGATATTTGGATCAACCTTGATGCAAAAAAATACTAACAGCAATTTTCACTCTTGTCAACTTTTTTTTTTTGCAAATTGTAGTTAAATCCTTAGATATCACCGCTTCCCCATCAAGTTGTTGGATCGGCAATCTACTTTTTACTACGTCACAGAAATTCCTAACAAATTGACGTAGATAAGGTAATGTTAAAAGTAACCCCCATTAACAGGTCTGAATTATTAAGAATTAACTTAATTCTTTCTCAACTAAAGGCACCAAAAATTTAGCAACTGTTCAAAGTTAACATGGGTTACAAGAGAATTTCATAGCTAAAGTGCAGTGGCATTCAAACAAATTGCAATTAATTGATGCCTCTCTCAAAAGGAACTTGAGAAAAACAAGATGGCAGTGCCAACATGATAGGTAGTGCTCAGGCTCGTAAGCCTATCTGCTCCAGCCAGCCGCATCCTTCTCAATCTCTCTCCTGTGTCATCTTTTTCTTTCTCTTCATCTTCTAATGTCATGGGGAAGCCAGAACAGTGTGGGTGGGTGGCGGTGCCCGGAGGGAGGACACGTGGCTGCAGGAGGACCGGAGCATGGACTCAGGAACTTGGCAGGTCTTCGGCTGCGGCGGTACCTGGAGTGGGGACTCTTGGCAGCAGCAGGTTGCTGTGGCGGGGGTCAGACTGGGGAAGACTGCGGTATGTTTGAAGTATGGACTCTTGGCAGGGTTGTCATTGCTGTACCCATAGCAGGGACTCCTTGAGGCTCGGGACACCTTATGAAGACCTTGCAAAAGGCCCTAGAGCTGTGATTGAAGACCCCTTGTACAGAAGATGAATTCTATTTATGTAATTTCCTTTGTTGTATAATTCAAAATGGCACCGGATTGTGGAGACAAAACACTTTTCACTATCTTTCTAGTGGTATGTGACAGTAAATAACTCAAAAACTTCTCGATTAACTAAGAAAAAAATGTCAACTCACACTTTTTCTCCAATTGCTTCAGACATATACAGAATTTCAAACAAAAGGGCCATTTTCCCAGAATGCTGCAATACTTCTGCATCAGCATCTGTGATGAACTCTTTGTACCAATCCGCGGCTGGACTACCTGGATTGGAACCAGTTGAGGGCTTTGCTGTTTTTTTTGAGGGGGTGGGTGGTGAAGAAGAAATAAAATCAGACATTACATGGAACAGCATTATAATACAGTACAAGTCATGAAACAGTACATTTACAGTTGCATACATTCTGTCCATAACTATACATTAACTACACTATTGGTTAAGAAACAGATCATTACGTTGCAACTGTGGGGAATACTCAAATTCCAGCTTGTTCCAGGAATCTCAGTAAAATAACAGTGAGTAAAGAATGACTACATCTGCTAATTCTGTGGCAGTTAAAAATAAATAACATCAAACCAACTCTGATAACATAAATGCACGAAAAGCTGGTAGGCATTAATCACAATGTCCTTTGTAAAATTAACCTGATGAAGGAGCAGCGCTCCGAAAGCTTGTGATTTCACAGAGTTGTAGAACACAGAAACAGACCCTTCAGTCCAACCAGTCCATGCTGAACATAATCCCAAACTAAACTAGTCCCACCTGCCTGCTCCTGGCCCATATCCCTCCAAACCTTTCCTATTCATATGTCCAAATTTCTTCACCAGGAGTTAATTCCACACGCGAACCACCCTTTGTGTAAAAAAAATCTGCCTCTCCTCTCATGTTAAAAATGTGTCCCCTCGTCTGGAAATTACTCATCTTAGGGAGAAGACAACTACCATCAACTCTATCTATACCTCTCATTATTTTATAAACTTCTATCACCGTTCAACCTCCTACAGTCACTGAATAAAGTCCCAACCTATCCAGCCTTCCCTTATAACTCAAACCTTCTATACCCATCATCATTCTGGAAAATTTCTTCTGAACCTTCTCCAGCTTAATAATATCCTTCCTGTAACTGAGCAACCAGAACTGGACACAGTATTCTGGAAAGAGCTTCACCCATGTTCTGTACAACCTCAACATAACGGTCCAACTCCTATACTCAGAGGACTGAGCAATGAAGGCAAAAGGTGCCGAACGCCTTTTTACGATCCTATCTACACGTGATGCAAACTTTGAAGAATTATGTATCCGCACTCCAAGGTCCCTCTGTTCTACAACACTACCCAAGGCCTTACCATTAATTGTATAAGCCCTATCCTTGTTTATTGTACCAAAATGCAATACTGTGGTTGGTTGGCTCCCCGAGCTGGTTCGTTGTTTTTCCATAGACGTTTCATTACCCTGCTGGGTAACATCATCAGTGCAGCCTCCGATGAAGCACTATTGTGTTTTCCCGCCTGTTATTTAAACTCTGGTGTCCATTGAGCTGGATTACCTCACTTCTGGTTTTCCTTCGCAGTGGAGTGTATATGGGGTCGAGCTCTATGTGTTTGTTGATGGCTTTCTTCGTGGAGTACCAGGCTTCTAGGAATTCCCGTGCTTGTCTCTGCTTCTCCTGTCCCAAGATCTTGGTGTTGTCCCAGTCGAATTGGTGGTTCTCCTTACCCATGTGGATAGAGATGAGCGAGTATTGGTCATGTCTTTTTGTAGCTAATTGGTGTTTGTGCACCCTTGTCATTAATTTCCTTCCTGTTTGTCCAATGTAGTGTTTGTCACAGTCTCTGCAGGGCATCTTGTATATGACATTGGTCCTGTTCATAGTGGGTAGTGGGTCTTTGGTTCGGGTGAGCAGTTGTCATAGGGTTGATGTGGGTTTGTGTGCCACTCTGATACCCAGTGGTCGTACGAGTCTTGTGGTCAGTTCAGATGTGTTCATCAGAGTAGCACACAAACCCACATATTTGTTTCTCAATTTCTCTCTTACTGTAGGGGGGCCTACAGTCCCATTAAATTAAAATCCCATTAAAGTGATCTATACTCTATTATTTATAAATTTCTATCCATATATTTCCACTGAACAATTTTTCAAAAATATCTTCTTTAGTTACAGCAGTAATATATTCCTTAATCAAACCCAGCGGCCCCCTGCCCCACACCCCATCCACCCGTTGCCTCCTTTTCTATCCTTCCCATAGCATCTAAAACCTGGAACACTGAGCTGCCAGTTTTGTCCATCTCTCAGCCAAGCTTTTGTAATAGCTATGACGTCCCAATCCCATGTTCTTAAACATGCCCTGAGCTCACCAGCCTTAGCTCTAAGACCCCTTGCATTGAAATAAATGCAATTTAGTTCTTCAGAGTTACTATATACTCTGACTCTTTCATCTTTTTTTAAATTGACATGCTCTCCTCACATTCAGAACCTACCCCATTAATCCTTCCATTTACATTGCTACTTAGAATTCCTCCATTCGCCTTCTCTATCAGTATAAGGTCTCCCTTAAGAGAGTGAGCAAATCTCTCTGCTAAGATATTGGCTCCTTTCCAGTTTAGGTTAGGCCAGTCTTTTCTACCCCAAAAGCCATTCCAATTGTCCAAAAAAACCTCAGCAATACACCAGCTCTTCAGCCATTGATTTATCTCCTTCAAATAAACCTGTTGGACTATAACCTGGTGTCATGTGACTTCTGACTTCATAAAATGCACACAGCATGATATTCATGTGATTGTGCAGAAATGCGAATAGAAAAAAAATATGAACTTAAACAAGCCTAAAAGAAGAATTAAATTTCTACCATCATCTGCTTTTGCAGTATTGGAGTCTACAGGTTTCTCTTCTGTGCTTGCTTCTCCTCCACCACGCGACCTTGAATTCCAAACTTTGATTACTTCCACATCATTGTCACTGCCACTCTCCTTTGAGGTACTTTCATCTTTCTTTCCACGCTTTTTTCTCTTTTTACTAAAATTAATAAATCAACACCTTTAGACGTACTTTTTCTCAATGTTACAACTACTTACCGCAGCTATTACATTCTGTTGATAACATCTCTTCACATGAAACAGCCTATTCTAATTCGCCAAGGGCCATAAAAAAATGCGTAAATTAATTACTAAGTTGACGTTAGTTATTTTATTAAAATAGTTTATTAAAAGAAAAAAGGAAACGAGTGATTTAATGTCAAATCTTACTAAATTTCATAAAATACACGTGACAATAAATAAACCAAATAGAAACTGAAGCATTCATTTACTTACTTTGCCAAGCCCCTTTGGAATATAATTGTCCTATTCATACGGGTGGTTGCAAGATTATAAGAATACTATTCTATTCCATAACTAAGTTACATCAGCTCTTAACACCAATTTGACAGTATGGAATTAAAGTGTACAGTACATCGGAAAAATCCACTCACCACTGTGGTGGGGTGAAATGTGTTACAATCAATTCCTGCTATGAAGGCTCATTTCTCTCTTTCTCTCCTCCCACCTCTCTTCACCACCTACCGCCTCCCCCCCTACCCCTCCCCAAACCACCTCTTTTCCCACTCCCTGTTCCCGTCCTCCTGGTAGGAAGTACGTTAGTCTAAAACAGGTGAAGAGCAAACAGTTCGAGGTAATTCTGTACAAATCATCAGAATGCCACTCAAATTAATAAGATGATCGAAAATTAAAACAAGCTACTAAGTTTCAATTTGATTGTCTTAAACAAAGCAAAGTTTATGTAGAACTTGCATAGAATCTTGGTCAGTCCACACCCCATACACAATGTTTACAGTACATTTGCCTAGCCTGCACATTACAAAAATGACAGATAGAGAGAAGATGCAAGAGATTTACAAAAGAGAGTCGGAATAGAGACAAATTAGAGTCATCAGGAAAGACTCAGATTAATGATCACTCATCTGTTTCGGACAGTCCAAATTCAAGTCCAAGAATATAATACATTATTAAGAAAAGATCCATTCTAATGAAGCTTTTATCTTGCACTCATTATGATAATTCACAAGAATTCAAAAGGGAAAACCAACATTTTTACTGCACATATCCACTAAGAAAATCATAAAGAACTCAGTAGAAGCTCCCAGTGCAGTTAGAATGTGGAACGTGCTACTGCAAATTTTGATTGGAAGTGTATAGTATACAGGACTCTAAAAAGGGGAAAATGTATAAGAACAGGTTCTTCGTAACCCAGCTGGCCTTTTGACCCCTCCCTTTCTCATCCTGGCCAGATCTCTCCAAAGCAAGGGGAAAATTTGAAATGAGTACTTTCAAGTTTTAATTGAAACTTCATGCACTGAAGACTTCTGACCAGTAAAGGCAATTTCACAAAATTCAAATTAAATATCCAAATCATTCATCATTGTGTATTTCAGGACTAGAATAACTCCAGAAACAACTTGGAAATAAAGCTCTAACTAAATTTAATTATGACTTATCAGGATTGTCCCACTGGGCTTTCAAAGAAGTTGGAAACAAACAAGTTCAAGGTGATGAGAGGCATAGATACAGTGGATAGCCAGAGACTTTTTCCCAGAGTGGAAATGACTATGGTGAGGGGGCATAATTATAAGGTGATTGGAGGAAGGTATAAGGAAGATGTCAGAGGTTAGGTTCTTTACACAGTGGTGAGTGCGTGGAATGCGCTGCTGGCGATGGTAGTGGTGTCAGATAGTTTAGGGACATTTAAGCGACTCTTGGATAGGCACATGGATGATAGTAAAATGTAGGGTATGCAGGGTAGTTTGATCTTAGAGTGGGATAATAGGTTGGCACAACATTGTGGGCCGAAGGGCCTGTACTGTTCTATGTTCCATGTTCTAAGTGCAACAAAAACAAACTGCAGGAGAAACTCAGTAGTTCTGTCCAAGAAGACACCAGACTTGAAATATTAACTTCCCACAAATGCTGCCAGACCTGAACTTCTGCAGCAATTTGGTTTTGTTGCAGATCTCCACCATCCGCTGTTCCCATTTTATTTACGTAGACAAATGGATTTTTAAAAAATACATTATTAGTTGCCTCACAATTCATATAAATAAATCTCCCAACTCAAAACCAAAGTGTTCCAAGATTCTACATGAAAGTATGAAAAAGCTATGAAAGGCCAAGTCTGCTTTCAGCTGATGTATGAGAACAGAGCATCCTTAGTGTTCCAATCACATATCCTCAGCCTCATTTGTTACGTAACAGGGACTGAATGTTAGAATTGTGACAGTAGATGGTAGAAGGAGACATCGGCAGTTATGTTGAACTAGAACAATGTGAAAGTAGGAAAACATTTTCCATGTATTTGTGTACAAAACTAATTTGCATACAAAACTAATTTGCATATCTATACACAATACATTACAAAGCATTCTTTAAACCAACATAGTCAAAAAGAAAAAATACCTTTTCTCATCTTCAGAGGAAAGGCTCATTGAAGTTTCATCGGAGTCTGATGCAATGAATTCATCCATACTGTCCTCATCAAAGTATCCCTAAAAAGAGAGATTAATAATTTACTTTTGCATATAACATTCATTTTGCTTCAAGCTATCATCACTAAAGTGCAAGGCAAATAAACGCGGCCATTGCATGAGTTTCCAATCACAACCTCAATAGAACATGGACAATACATCTTCTCAAGCGCTGCAAAAGATCAAGGTGACACCACTTCTTCCAGGGCAATTAGGAATGGGGAATAAATGCTGGTCTTGCCAGAGCTCCACAGATCTCTCAAATGAGTAAAATTTTTTTGGCCATGTTTACTAAAGGTTGTAAAAAGCCTGGAGACTATAGACCCAACAGTCTGATATTGGCAGTGGGTAAGTTGTTGGAGGTGATTCTGAAAGATAGGATTTACATGCATTTGGAGAGATGAGATTGGTTAGGGATAGTCAGCATGGTTTTGTGCGAGGAAAACTGTCTCACACAAACTTAAGTTTGAGTTTTTAATGAAGTAGTCAAAAAGACTGATGAGGGCAGGATGGTAGACTTTGCTCACTTGGACTTTACTAAAAGTCTTTGATAAGGTTCCACATAGCCGACCAATTAATAAAGTTAGGTTACACGGTATTCAGGGTGAGCTTGCCAACTGGATACAAAATTGCCTTAATGGCAGAAGACAGAGACTGATGGTAGAAGTTGCTTTTCGGACTGGAGGCCTGTCATCAGCATTGTTCCGTAGGGATCAGTTCCGGGTCCAGTTTTGTTTATCATTTATATAAATGATTTGGATGTGAACACAGGAGGCATGGTTAATAAGTTCGCAGATGGCACCAAAATTGGTGGTATAGTGGACAGTGAAAAAGGTTATAAGATTACAAAGAGATCTTGATCAATTGGGTCAATGGGCTAAAGAGTGGCAATTTAATTTGGATAAATGTGAGGTAAAACAAACAAAGGCAGGACTTACACAATTAACAGTAGAGCTCTGGGTAGCGTTGTAGACAGGACTTAGGAGTTCAGGTACATAATTCTTTGAAATTTGCGTCACAGGTAGACAGGGTGGTTAAGCCGATGTTTAGGATGCTTGCCTTCTTTGCTCAGACCTTTGATTACAGGAGGTGGGATGTCACATTGAGGTTCTACAGGACATTGCCAAGGCCTCCTCTGGAATAGTGCGTGCAGTTATGGTCACCCTGCTATAGGAAGGTGATTGCTAAACTGGAGAGGGTTCACAAAGATTTACCAGGATGCTGCCAGGAATGGACGGTTTAAGATACAAAAAGACGAGGACTTTTTTCACTGGAGCGATGGGGGTTAAGGGGTGACCTGATCGATATTTATAAAATCATGAGGGGCATAGATAAGGTGAACTACAAAGGTCTTTTCCCTAGGATGGGGGAGTTCCACAACTAGGAGCCATATTATTTTTTAAGGAGAGAGCAGAAAGATTTAAAAAGGGCATGAAGAGAATTTTTTTATTTTACAGTGTGGCTGGTGCGTGGAATGAACTGTCACAGTGGTGGATGCTGGTAGTTACAACGTTTAAAAGACATTTGGATAAATTCATGAATAAGAAAACTTTAGAGGGATATGGGCAAAGAAAAGGGAGATGGGCCCACATTAGTTTGAGAACATGGTCGATGTGGACTGGTTGGAATGAAGGATCTGTTTCCATGCTGCATGACTCTATGACTATAACTTCTTCAAATCAGAAGATGCTAGACAGCCAAAGGTTCCATTATTTAAAAAGCATAAATTATTTGCATCAAAGGGTCTTTAAAGAAATAAACATAGCCCAGAAATTGCAGAGATGCAACAGAATGCTGAAGTTAACATAGCATCCAACTCCTATTCAGACAAGTTGCAGTTCGTAGGAAATTGGCTATTTCAAAGCTACAGTATCAGCACAGCAACAAACCCAAATCTGTTCATCGTATTACCTTGCTATTTTAAACTTGAGAGAATCCAGTCTACTGGCCATTCAAGGCAAAGGTCAAGAGTATCGTCATATACTTCTGTCCTGCTTAACATCCAGATTCAAATTAACAAAGGTTTGGTAAAGTGTGAAGATACTTTACATTTACAAGCCTCTTTCACAGCAGATTTGAATTGGACAGTGAAATTCAATTCTCTCAACTGATCCTTAAAGCATGTTGACAAAACTGAGGAGGGGGAGAAATCCAAAGAGTGACCTTAGAACAAAATTGTTATCTGCACTATTTACCCCTCGTGGGAAAACTACTGCTTTTGACGAATCCAGTGAATGAACTGGTCTGCTCCAGGGGTATAGCTAAATTTAAAAATTGCAGGTGTTGATGAGTGGCAAGTGCTTTTCGGCTGTAAGATACAGAAGCAGAGTTAGGCCATTTGACTAGAGTCTGCTCCACCATTCCATTATGGCTGATATGTTTCTCAATCTCATTCTCCTCTTTCTCCCTGTAACCTTTGATCCCCTGACCAGTCACGAACCTCTCTCTGTCTGTCTTAAAAGACACACAATGACAAGCCTCCACAGTCTTCTGTAGCAATGAGTCCCACAGATTCACTACCCTCTGGCTGAAGAAGTTCTTCCTCATTGCAGTTCTAAGGGGTCGTTCCTTCAGTCTGAGGCTATGCCCCGGGTCCTGGTCTCTCCTACTGGTGGAAACATCATCTTCATGTTTACTCACGTTCTTCTCCACATGCTCTCACATTCACACTCTCCAGGCCTCTCAATATTCTGTAAATTTCAAATGAGATCCCACCTCATTCTTCTAACCTCCATCGAATACAGACCCAACATCCTCAACTGTTCCTCGTATGACAAGCCCTTCATTCTCGGGACCATTCTTGTAAAGTCCTTCTGGACCCCCTCAAAGGCCAGCACATCATTCCTTAGACAAGGGGCCCAAAACTGCTCTCAACATTTCGAATGCAGTCTCATCTAGAGCCTCATACAGCCTCAGCAGTACATCCCTGCTCTCGTATTCTAGCCCTTTCAAAATCAATGCTTACATTCACTTGCCTTCCTAACTGCCAACTGAATCTGCATGTTGCCTTTAAGACTGAGCTCCCTTTGTTCTTCAGATTTCCGAAGCCTTTCCCCTTTTAGAAAATAGTCCATGATCATATTCTTCCTACCAAAGTGCATAACCTCTATACTCTCCAATGTAATATTCCACCTGCCACTTCTATGCTCACTGTCATAGCTTGTCCAAGTACACCTGCAGCCTCCCCGCTTCCTCAATACTATCTGTCCCTACACCAATCCTTGTGTCATCTGCAAACTTAATGCTGCCCTCAGTTCCAGATTGTTAATGTATAGCATGAACAGGCATGGTCTTAATACTGACCCTGTCGTGTTACTTTACACTTACAAGCCTCTTTTCACAGCAGCAGATTCAAACTAGACTAGTTAAGTCACCAGCTGCCATCCTGGAAAAGACTCTATAATCTGTACTCTTTGGCTTCTGCCAATCAGCCAATCTTCTATCCATGCCAATACCTTGCCCTTAACACCACAGACTCTTATTTAGCATTTATGGGGAGATGACAATCTTAATGTCACTATCACTGGACTCCAAAGCCTTCCCACCATCTTTCCTGCTAGGCTCCCCTTCCAATGAATTCTAGCCAGCTCCTCCCTCAGGTCTTTATAGTTGCCGTTACATTCAATTCCAGCTTCTCCATCTCAAACTGGGCGAATTCTATCATATTATGGTAACTGCCCCCTCAGGGCTTCTTCACCTTAAACTGCCAAATCAAGTCTGCCTCATAATACACCAGATCGAGAACTGCCTGTTCCCTCCTGGGCTCTACCATAAGCTGCTCCAAAAATTCATCTTATTCATACCAAAAATTCCTTTTCTTAGGATCTGCTACTAACCTGATTTTCCAGTCCACCTGCACACTGAAATCCCCCATGAATATTGTAATAGTGCCTTTGCTATTTCAGGATTTATTTTCTGCCCCACATGCTGACTACTGCTAGGAGGCCTGTACGTAACTGCCATGAGGGAGATATTTCCTTTCCAATTAAACTGACATTATCTCCCAGCAGGTAGGAGTAAACAACAGGTTAGTTATACTTTCAATTTAAAGTAATCCCTCCAAAAACCACTGTAGACCAAAACTTAACATTCCACAGTTGAAGTGTTTGTTATCTTGACAGCAAGTTACATATGTTTTAAAAATAGAAACAGAAAACACTGGAAACAACAAGTAGTATCTGTGGAAAGGAGAGTAAATGCTTCAGATCAATGACCTTTCATCAGAAAAGTTGATTGATTTGAACCATTAACTTGGTTCCCCCTCACGTTATAGCACTAGAGGCATTCGAGGCATACATTCAGCCCATCACTGCTCAAGGCAAAGTCACTGTAGGCCCTTATCTTGAGATCTACAATTAGGTATTGAGAGCAAATATTCAGATTAGTCCAGTCTAGGAATACGGCCAGTTTGCTATGTGGAGTGGGCTTCCAGAACAAGGATTTTAAAGGACTGTAAACGACTGGAAACTCATTTTGCATTTAAATTCATGAAATCATGAATCATGGAATCCCTACAGCGTGGAAACAGGCCCTTCGCCCCAACAAGTCCACACCGACCTCAGAGCATCCCACCCAGACCCATCTCGTTAACCCACCTAATCTACAAATCCCTGAACACTAGGGGCAATTTAGCATGGCCAATCCACCTAGCCTGCACATCTTTGGACTGTGGGAAGAAACCAGAGCACCCGGAGGAAACCCACGCAGACACAGGGAGAATATGCAAACTCCACACAGACAGTCACCCAAGGCTGGAACTGAACCTGGATCCCTGGCGCTGTGAGGCAGCAGTGCTAACCACTGAGCTACCGTGCCACCCCATAATCTTTTTTGCTGGTTTCGGTGATTTCAGCCAAACTTCCTTAAAGATAGTCAAAAACTAATGGCATCTCCAGGCCAGGATATTTCAAACATCATAACACACCCTTGAAGAGGGCAGCAGTGTGATGATGTTGATTGGCTGACGTGGGGGAAGATCTGCATCAGTGCAGTCATTGCTTCCAGAAGGTGTTTGCGGAGGCGCTGTTGTCAAGTGACTGGCTCATACAGCGAGGCAATATGTGTAGAGCTCAGAAACAGGAAGGGTGCAATCATACTGGGGTTTACTATAGGCCTCCCAACAGCCAGTGAGAGATGCAAGAACAAATACGTAGGCAGATTTTGACAAGTTGTAAAAGTAATAGACAAATGTTGGAGCACAAATCAACATATGGTATGTGGGAGGCTTTCGAGTATAAGTTGTGGGAACTCAGGACAGGCATGTTCCTTTAAGGATGAAGCATAAGTATATCCAAGGTTCCCTAAACTTGCCAATGAGAGATATTGTGAGCCTAATCAAAAAGAAAAAAGGAAGCATTTATCAAGGCTAGGAGTCAGGAGGGCTAAAAGGGGTCATGAAAAGTCACCGGCCAACAGGATTAAGGAAAATCCCAAGGTGTATACATATATAAAGAGCAAGAGAGTAGCCAGGCAGAGAGTTGGCCTACTCGAAGACAGGGAAGGGAATTTGTGTGTGGAGCCAGAAGAAATGGACAAGGTATTAAATGAGTACTTTGCGTCAGTATTCACCATACAGAAGGACTTAATGGATGATGAGTCTGGGGAAGCGTGTGTAGATAGTTTGGGTTATGTTGAGCTCAAAAGGGAGGACGTATTGGGGGTCTTGAAAAACGTTAAGGTAGACAAGTCCCCAGGGCCTGATGGGATATACCCCAGAATACAGACAGGCAAGGGAGGAAATTGCTGGGGTCTTGAGGGAAATCTTTGTATCCTCACTGGCTACAGGGGAGGTCCCAGAGGATTGGAGAATAGCCACTGTTGTTCCTTTGTTTAAGGGTGGCAAGGATAATCCAGCTAATTACAGGCCAGTGAGCTCTATGTCAGTGGTAGGGAAATTATTGGAGGATTCTTCAAGACAGGATTTACTCTCACCTGGAAATCAGTGGGCGTATTAGGGAGAGGCAACATGGTTTTGTGAAGGGGAGGTCGTGTCTCACTAACTTGGTTGAGTTTTTTGAGGAAGTGATGAAGATGATTGATGAGGGTAGGGCAGTGGATGTTGTCTACGTGGACTTCAGTAAAGCTTTTGACAAGGTCCCTCGTGGCAGGCTGATACAGAAGGTAAAGTCACATGGGGTCAGAGATAAGCTTGCAAGATGGATAAAAAAACTGGCTCGTAGAAGACAGAGGGTAGCAGTGGAAGGGTGCGTTTCTGAATGGAGGGCTGTGACTAGTGGCGTTCCTCAGGGATCAGTGTTGGAACCTTTGCTGTTTTATATATATAAAAATGATTTGGAGGAGAATGTAACTGGTCTGATTAGCAAGTTTGCCGATGACACAAAAATTGGTGGAATTGCAGATCGTGATGAGGACTGTCAAAGGATACAGCTGGATATAGATCAGTTGGTGACTTGGGCACTAAGATGGCTGATGCAGTTTAATCCAAAAAAATGTGAGGGGATGCATTTTGGAAGGTTTAATCCAGATGGAAAATATATAGTAAATGGCAGAACCCTTAAGAGTACTGATAGACAGAGGGATCTGGGTGCACAGGCACACAGGTCACAAAGTGGCAATGCAGGTGGAGAAGGTAGTCAACAAGGCAGATGGCATGCTTGCCTGCATTGGCCGGGACATTGAGTTTAAAAATTGGCAGGTAATGTTGCAGCTTTATAGAACCTTAGTTAGGCCACGTTTGGAATACTGTGTTCAATTCTGGTCGCCACACTACCAGAAGGATGTGGTGGCTTTGGAGAGGGTACAGAAAAGATTTACCAGGACGTTGCCTGGTATGGAGTGCATCAGCTATGAGAAGTTGGAGAAACTTGGGTTGTTCTCACTGGAACGACGGAGGTTGATGGACGACCTGATAGAGGTGTACAAGATTATAAAGGGCTTGGACAGACTGGACAGTCAGAAGCTTTTTCCCAGGGTGGAAGAGACAGTTACTAGGGGCCATGGGTTTAAGAGGCAAGGGACAAGGTTTAAAGGTGACGTACGAGGCAAGTTTTTTTTTTGCACAGGGGTTGGTGGGTGCCTGGAACTTGCTGCCTGGGGAGGTACTGGAAGCAGATACTCTAAGTGACTTCTAAAGGGCGTCGTGACAAATACATTAATAGGATGGGAATAGAGGGATCTGCTCCCCAGAAGGGTAGGGGGTTTTACTTGTGACGGGCAGCATGTGGGTGCAGGCTTGGAAGGCCGAAGGGCCTGTTCCTGTACTGTAATTTTCTTTGTATCATTAATGGGTTTCTGATGTTACTGGTTAAGTTACTAAACTCAAATGCTAACGACGACAGATAATCTAGATCTACTTCTCTTGCCCCCCAACAGCCTTTCAATTTTGCACCACACATTTCAATAGTTCTATTAAATGACTACTGCGATGTAGCAAGATTAATCTCATTCACACCAGAAGAATTCACACTGGGTTAATTAAAATATATAACCTCCAATTGTCTTATATAATTGAGCTATTCTTTTCAAAAAAAAAACTTCAGTCAAAATGGTCACGTATCAGAATATTTTATATGAATTGAAACAGTTAAAAATTCACTTTTTTTTTTAAAATCATGCATTCACAGGGTGAGGGCTTTGCCCATCCTTAATTGCCTAGAGGAGAGTTAAAAGTCAACCATATTGCTGAGGGTCTGTCTGGGGTCACAGGTAGACCAGATCAGGTAAGGACAGGCAGTTTCCTTCCCTAAAGAACGTTAGTGAACCAGATGTGCTTTTCTTGACAGTTGAAAATGGATTCATGGTCATCATTAGACTCTTTATTCCAGATTTTTATTAATTCAAATTCCACCAATTGTTGTGGCACGATTTGAATCCAGTTCTCCAGAAAATCACCTGGGTCTCAGGATTAACAGTCCAACAATACCACTAGGCCATCACCTCCTATGTTAATTTACAGTACCTTGTTTTCTTTGCTGATGTAGTCCAACTGCAGGCACCAAGGATGAGTCCATATCCTGCTTAGCATCTGAAAATCTTGGAAGAGTCTTGTGCCCGTCTTCCCCCTTCCACTTTCATTATTAGTCCCCACACCTGAAAGTAAAAGCTGTGATCTTGAGATTGAGAAATCTTATATACTGCTTTGAAGAGGCAAGAACGTAGAACATAGAACATTACAGCGCAGTACAGGCCCTTCGGCCCTCGATGTTGCGCCGACCTGTGAAACTAATCTGAAGCCCATCTAACCTAAACTATTCCATTATCATCCAGAAAGCTAGTTTATCACTCAAAATTATTTCAGCATTGTCAAAAATGACATCCCACTAACAGCTAGACAAAGCCTTTTGTAACATATACATATTAAACTGTTAACAGACACACAGTCTTATTTTAAAATATTTTGTACTTGGAAAATACTATTTTCATAAGAAAACCAAGAGCTTATTACATGAGAAAAACCAAAGAAAATTAATATCCTATATTGATCTTGTATCCTTAATTTCTGTACCACAATCTTCAGAATGAGAATGCTGAGAAACTAGGCTTTACTCCAGAGATTTGAGTGCAAGACACTTTATTGCAACACTAAGGCAATGATGCTATGTGAGAGTTGTACGAGATGATGAGTGGCTCTTCCAGGCTTCAGAATGCTAGACTTCCCATTTGATTGCATTCATGTGCATTTGCCTTCTTTAAGGCCATGTCATTTAATGAATGCAAATGCGGAAACTCCTGCGGTAAGCAATTTGTATAACTACTACCTTTAAAGTGGCTGCTCTTAAAAGGGCAACTGAACATTTCATTACTTAAATAGCCAAATCAGATTTTCCTTTATTCATCAGGACCTGACACGTTTGGGTCTCAACATGAAGAGGTTGGGAGTAGGGTGCACAACTGCTTGAAATAGAGACACCTTATAAAGGAGTCACCGTTTGAAATTCAGTTCTACTCTCTTTAAATTAAGTCAGGTTTATTGACTACAGGTTGGAGACACATGCCCCATTTCAGTAAAAATGGATATTCTCTGTTACATTTGCTTGAACAATTAAGGGAATAGGTGATAGCATAGATATTTAGCCCAGAATTGATCTTTTTAAATTCATGTATGTGACAGTACTAGTTTTTGGATTTGCATTCAATTTAATATCAGCTAAGCTCTCACGCTTGTTTTCTTTTTACCTTTATCTTCATTGAATACTGTATTTAAATACAAGTTGGGTTTAAATTATTTTATATCCACTAGTTTAAAAAAAAGTCCTAAAGTGTACCATATTTGCATGGAGAGACTTCTTTATTACTTGTTCTTCTATTGTTAATCCTTAAATTTGTGCAATGTGTTACCATTTTGGCAACCACTGAAAACTATCCTGGACTACTTACTTTCTCAAAAATAGTTAATAATTTCTGAAATTAATTGCCAACACATTTCCATGTCACCCATGGACTTCCCTCTCCTAATTTTTGCACAGCAATGACCCAGAAACCAGAATGTGAAAATGACCAATGATCTGTTTTATTGATGTTGGTTGAGGAATAAATGTTGGCCAGGACACTGGTCATCAAGGGGGGAGAATGCTAATAGAATCAGTGAGGATAGACAGAAGAAGCCAAAGCTGAAATAAAAACAGAAATTGCTGACGAAACTTTGGCAGCATCTGTGGGAAGAAAGCAGAGTTAGAGTCACCAGACTCCAAACGTTAACTCTTTCTTCCCACAGATGCTGCCAAACTTGATAGGTTTCACCAGCAATTTCCGTTTTCGTTTCAGATCTCCAGCATTCAAAATTTTTTGTTTTATTTTAAGTTAAAATTAAAGCCTAGAAGAGACACTCAGAAGAGATCCAGGCTGGACAGAAACAGGAAAATATTTTACTTTTAAACAGAGATATTCAGAGATTACCACAGGACCTCTATCAGCTGGCTTGCAGACATTAAATAAAAATGAGAATGCAAGATCACTCATTGTACAGCAGATGCAGCAGAGCAACCCAAGTTAATGAAGTAGCCTGAATGACTGCAAACTTCAGCAGGGTAGAAGCTGAAGTGTGCCAGCAGATGCAATTCCAAATAGGATCACAGCCACAGATTTTTAACGTGAATGATCCCCTTCCCAAAATATGAACAAAACAGTATCTTTTTGAATAATTTGAGATTAAATAATGGGACTGTATAAATAAAACAATTTCTAAATTCTAGCACTTCCTCTCCTGAATAAATCACAACATAGCTATAAGCAAATCAGTTAGGCATGCATTTCCTTATTTAATGCCAAAAACCAAATGTTTGATTTAATTCACCATAGGACAACCCCAATTTGCCACTGCGGTTATATTATAGTACACTTGAATGCAGTGGAAGTTCAATCTATAATTATGAAGCATCACTTAAGTAAAAGCCAAAGGCTGAATACTTCGTTGTTCTTCAAGATTACAAAGCAGATCTCAGTGGTTACTGCAGAAGTTTGGTGAAATATTACACATTATTCTGATTAGGCAATTGTGGCCACAGATTCAAGTAGTCACTGATTATACAACTGTAAGCTGTTGGCTAATCAATGAAGGCTTAAAATGGATTTATCACAAACAGACCATAAAACTGATAGATATCTATCAACTTGGCAGTATTTTAATAAGAGTCATTTTGCAGGAATCCAAATTTCAGTTCGAAAATAGTGATTCAGTAACACCCTCTCACTTTCATATCAACTTTGCAGAGTTGCACCGTCTTAATGCATGCATTATTTACAAATTCTACAGGAGTGCTATTCTTATACTAAACACATTTCACCCTTCAAATATTGGGGCACTGCTTTGAATGAAGATTTTCTTCAGCCAGTGTTTGGCTTACATTTTTGGCTTCATGAAATTGTTCTTCTGTCCAACCTCCCATAGAATTGATTTCGAGCATCTTAAGGTATACCATGTCACACTGACTTATCACTATGCTCGATGACCAACAGTGGCATCATCAAAGCAACACTTTGACTTTAAAACGCCCATCCCTGTTTTCAAATCACTCCAAGGCCTTGTCCTTCCATACAACTGCAGCCTATGCCACAAACCACGAGACATGTTTTCCCTCAATTCCGGCCTCCTCAGCATCCTCAATCTTAAATTGCACTGCCAGTGATGAAGCAATCAATCAGTCACCTAGGCTCTGAACTCTGGAATATCCTCCCCAACTTAACCACTTTTCTACCTCACCTTGCTCCTCAAGGCACTTCTTTAAACCTAATTCTTTGACCAAGCATTTGGTCAACTGATCCAATGTCTCATGCAGCTCAATGTAATTTTCTTAATACAATATTCCTGATTAGCACCTTGAAATGATTTCTTATGCTAAAGGTGCTGCATAAACACATGTACCAAATTGCTTTCTCTCCCTTTTAGGTGACAACACTATTTCTCCCTCCATGTTGCTGATTTGTTTCATTGTCTCTGCATATTTTCCCATGTTCCTTCACTCTTCTTTTTATTGTTTTGAACAGACTATGGACAAATCTACATTCTCTTGGCCAGAACTTATACCAACTGTTGCTTCAGTGCTACTCCTTTCTATGCCAACATTAAATACACACCCAAGCAGCTGCACCAATTCATCTTCAAAAATCGGCAAGTTGCTTATGGAAGCATGTTTCACCCTGGCAGTTCACCAATAATAATTGTAATGAAGGCCAATGAAAATCAACCAAGTATCAGTGACTCCTCTCAGCAGTGGGCATCTGTTCACTGCTCACATGCAGGTTATCTCCTTGAATTTGTTTAAATTTTAAAAGGGCTGACAGATCTAAAACATTTTCAATTTTAGGATATTTCTATGTAATTCAGAGATACCTCAAGACATAGTTCAAGATCCAGCTTGCAGCAAACCAATAAATCAGAAAGCTAGAACTGATAGCCAGCAACAGAAACAGAATAGCTCTTGGAACTACATCCACATTCCAGCACACTTTCTGCAATGTCTAGACAGCAGGCAGACCCAACTCCAAATTCCCATATTACGATGTAATTTCTCTGTCACTCTGAAAACACAGGTAGGGAACCATACTGTTCTTCCCAGAGAATTTTTTTCTCTCATACAACCCACTTCGGTTATAAATAAAATGTGGAAATGATCAGACTTTCAGAGTCAGCTATTTCCTACAGTTCTAGGACAATCACTGGACAAAATTACCACAGGTCTAACTAATATTCAAGTAATGAATTACAATTATCGTTCATTTAAAAACAAATTTCATTACATACCTGTAAAATGGTCAAGGTAGTACTGATAAAGTTTGCACTGAATTGGCATCATTCTCACAGAAAGAACATACTCATATTTCGGAGGCAAGAATTTGGTAAGTGCAGTGTAATCCTTTCGCTATTTGAAAAAAAAGTTTCAAATTTTATAATCAGAATTGGAGGGTCAGACAGGCATGCACAGGTAGAGAAAATTACCCCAAAAAGTCTGAAAATAAAAGCAAGGATTTAAGTTAATATAACAGGACAAAGTTACCAGAAGAATTACAATTGAAATGGCAACCCTTCCTCCCCAACTTCATATTACTAAACGTAACTAAGAACATTCATGGTTGAAAACCCAAGGCAAGGCAGCAACAAGCAATGCAACTTTAACTGCATAAAATAAGAAACAGGAGCAACCAAAAGTATAAGGTAGAGGAGCTAAAACAACTATTTCAGTGATGGTTGTAAATACCTGCACACAGCCTGCTAGCATTTCATACAAGATGTGAGCACGTTTCTTCATTACTCTCACATCCGCTAAAGTGGAATCAGCACACTGGCCATTTTGAATGGGATTCATGAATCGGTTTCGGAATTCCTTTATTGAACCAAGAAGGTTCTCTTTAATGAAATTCACCATACAGTGATCTGTAGGAGAAGTATTTCAAGCATTTAATTTTTTTTAAAAACAGGATTAATTCACTTAATCCATGGTATATATGGGAACACAATAAGACAAATAGTTTGCTCTCTTCCAGGCTTCAGTAAAGAATTTAACTGTTGATTGACAGTTTTCTATTGTATAGCCAAAATCCCCTCAACTTGCATTTATATAGTGACCAACAGGAGAAAACCGAAAATTTGGCAGCCAGCAAAAGGAGATGCAATCACGAAGTGACAAATTTTTGTTGAAGTTGCAAGGTTCAAGTGTCTTAATGAAATGCAAGGTCTAGATATGGTGAGGTCTCAGCAGGGGCTTTAAGAACTCAGGCTCATGGCTGTCGTCAATGCCTGGGTGAAGAAAGTGCACAAAAGGAGGAGGATTTCAACAGAGTCGCTAAAATGAAGCAAAATAGGTGACATAACAGGTGTAAGTAGATCATTTGTGTAATGGAAAGGTATGAGGCCATGATCTTAGCTCATGGACAAACAGAACACTGGGTTTCCTCAGCTAAATGACATCTGCCAGAGACAATGTAATTCGCAGCTGAGGCACAAGACAATAGCTTCAGTCCTTTCCAAATGTTTAATTGAAGGCTGATGGCACACATGATGTGGAGAGTTCAACTGAAATGTTGGTAAGGTTCTGGATGGTATGACCGGGTATCAGTAACTTACAACTGAAGGCCATGTTTTTGGACATCACCAAGAGAATGGTGAGACTGGGACGTGGCGATTGAAGAGAAAGACCAATTCATTAATTCCTAGGAGACTCCAAAGCTAACAAGATCAAAACATATAACAGCATAAGTACACCATGCAGCACATACATCGTTCAATAAAATCATGATTGACTGGATAATCCTCACCTGGACTTTCCCACCACACCCCTGTACTAAAATCATCCTCTCTCATACTTACAACTTAGCTTCTACTACTCGCTGTAGTAAAGAATTCCACAGATGCATGACGACACACAGGTCTAGCTGCACATTCCCCTCATTTTATAGCCAGATAATCTATCTTCCTGTTTTTGCTACCAAAGTGGATAACCTCACATCCATCCACATTATACTGCATCTGCTGCACATTGTCCATTCAGCCAGCTTGTCCAAAATCACACTGAAGCATCATTACATCCCCTGACAGCTCATTCTCCCAGTCAGCTTTGCACTATCTGCAAATTTGCAGATATTAATCCAAGTCATTAATAGATACCCTAAATAACCAGGGTTCTAGCACTGATCTGTCATTTAGGAAAAAAAAAATTTATTCCTACTCCACACTTCCTGTCTACCAAACAGTTTTGTATCCATTTCAAACCACAACTGAATGTCATGTGCTTTAATTTTAAAATGATAATGTCTCTCGTGGGACCATGTCGAAAGACTCCTGAAAATCCAAATAAGCTACATCCACTGGCTCCTTTTCACGTATTCTACAAGTTACATCCTTAGAAAATCCCAGTATATTTGTCAAGCATAATTTCCTTTCGTAAATCCATGCTGACTCTGTCCAAGTATGCCATGTTTTCCAAGTGGTCTATTAAATCTTTGAAGATGGACACTTGCATGTTCCTCATTACCTCCTTTGCCCATTTGGAATTCTTGATTATTTAGTATTTTTGGAATGCTATTAATGCCCTCTACTATCAATACTGATGAAAGAAGTGCTTATTCAACTCTTCTGCAGTTTCTTGGATCCCCATTATTTCCTGAGCCTCATTCTCTAAGGACACTATATTCACTTTGGTTTCTCATTATCCTTTTGATATATAAAGGCATTCTTGCTCACTGCGTTTTTTTAAAATAGAAAATGCAAGTTTGACTTCTTTATTTTCTACTTTTTTGGGTCATTTTTCATGGAGTCATATATACCTAAGCACAGAAAAAGGCCCTTCAGCTGACAGGATCTGTGCCAGTAAAAACCAACCAATCATCTAACTATTCTAATCTCATTTTCCAGCACTATGACAAAAGTCTTATACGCCTTGGCATCATAAATACAAATCTAAATAATACTTAAATGTTGGAAGGGTTTTTGCCTCTACTACCCTTCCAGACTGTAAGTTCCAGATTCCCACCATCCTTTGGGTGAAAAAGCTTTGCCCCAGATCTCCTCAAAACGTCTACCCCTTACATTATAACTATAACCTTCGTCAATGATCCCTCCATCAATGGGAAAGATTTCTTCATGCCTAACCCACCTATGTCCCTCAATTTTGGGCATCTCACTCATGGCCCCTTTTAATCTCCTCTGTTTTAAAGAAAACATACCTGTCCAATCTCTCTTAACTGAAACTGTCCAGCCAGGCAACATCCTGTAATTCTCCTTTGCACCCTCTCCCATGTTACACATCCTCCTATAATGTAGATTCCAGAACTGCACACGGTACTCTAGCTGTGGCCTGACCACTTCGTACAGTTCCAGCATAATCCTACTTAGCTTAAACTCTATGCCTTAGCTAACAGAAGCAGGTGTCCCATATGCCTTAACAGCTTTATCCACCTCACCCCTTACCTCAAGGGACCGATGCACATACACACCAAGGTCCCTCTGATCCTTCGTGCTTCCCTGCTATTCATCATGTGTTCATTACTGGCTTTTACAACTTTCCAAATCCTCTGGTTTACCACTAATGTTTGCTGCATTGTGTGATTTCCATCTCAATTTGTTACTATCCTTAACTTCCTTGGTTGATCATGGTCAGTTTTATCTGCTTCCTAGACACTAGAATCCTTCTTTCTAATTGGGATATAGCTTTGCTCAGTCATAAATTTTTTTCTTCAATGTCACAGGAATCAGGGCTGGAACCACATATTGTTTACAATATGTATAGTAATGACTTGGATGATGACAGTGAATGTACTAATGCCAAGTTTTCAGATGACAAAACCAATTTCAAAATCCCTCCACTCCCAGCCTTATCCCTAACTTGTCCCCATCTTCCTACTCACCTATCCGCTCCACCTTTCCCACTGACCAATCACTATAACCCCTTACCTGCATCTACCTATCACTATTCCACCTACCTTTCTATAGCCCCACCCCCCCTCTATTTATTTCTGGGCTTCCCCCCTCCTACCAGTCCTGATGAAGGGTTTCAGTCTAAAATGTTGACTTTTCCGCTTCTCTGATGCTGTCTGACCTGCTGTGTTTGTCCAGTTTCACGTTTATTGATTCTGGCTTCCAGCACCTGCAGTCCTTACTGTCTCCTAGACAAAAATAGTTCCTAGTTCCTCAAATTTCTTGCCCAGTCCATCCCAGACAACTCATTCTTCATTCGCCTTATTGTAGTTGCTTATGTTCAGCACAGTTATTTCCAACCCAAGTTTCTCATTCTCAAACTGAATGTTAAATTCTACCATGTCCTTAGGCAATCTTTTATTTGGACCATTTATTAAATCTGTCTCATTACAAAAAGGATCCAAAATAGCCTGACCCCTGGTTAGATCTACAACATATTGTTCTAGGAAACTATTCCAAACACTGAAATTTTTGCTCTTAGCTAGGTTTTGCAAATTTAATCTTCATGTAGATTGGGAAAATCAAAATCAAACACGATTAGTGTACTGCCTTTATTTGCAATCTCTCATTATCTCATGATTTATTCTCTGTCCTGCAGAACAGCTGTTAGGTAGCTTATTCACTACATCCAACAGTATCTTCTTCCACTTGTTACTTCTCACCTCTAGTCATACAAATTCTACACCAATTGATCTTGGATCGGTTCTGGTTATCACATTTATTTCAACTTGTACAACCTTCCGTTCCTGGTCCTGCCTGCTCTTTCAAAAAGTCATACGCCCCTGAATAGTTAGTTCCCAACTTTGATGCCCTTGCGACCACATCTCCACGATAGCTATAAAAAGGGATTCCCATTCACCTGTATTTGTGAGTTTAATTAATTCATTTTGTTCTGAAGAGGTGTGATGAAGAGACATTGCAGGAAACTCTATAGCTATAACTAGATAGCAAAAATATAACCAGACAAGGACAGTCGCGCTCAGCCAAACAACAGAAGAGTGGCTGAAGAATGATGCAGTGATGTAGTTTGCTAAACTGAAGGCACAAGACAGGTCGAAGAGGATGATTAGACATGACAATGCACCATCCATTTTATGTGGATGAAAAGATGGAAAAACAAAGATCAGAGATTCAACATGAATGATAGTCATGAATTTGTGGATGGATAGTGGTGGACAGGGTAAAGGGGACTTTATAACTCTTCCATATCCTCTTTTGAAAATAATGTTACTGAAATAGTGATCCAGAAGCTTGGACTCATATTCTTGCAGCAGAAGTTCAAATTTCATCAAAGCAGCTAGAGGAATTTAATTATCAAATCTGGAATGCAAAGCTAGTCTTAGTACACTAATAAAACTACCACATAGTCATGAAAACACATCTGGCTCCCTAATATCCTTCAGGGAGGGAAATCTACTGTCCTGATTTGATCTGGCTGATATATGACCAGCTCAGTGTGACTAGCTTTCAACTATCGCCAAGTGATCTCATACAATCACTCTTACAACAAACTGCCAAGACTAGCTGCACCACAAATACTTGAGAAATAGCCAGAGTGTTACACGCAAGTTGTACAATAAATCCAATGTCTGAGACTCTTCCATTACCACCTCTGGGCATGTTCTGTCCCAACAATCAGCAGATGGTGACACAATGGTATAGATTTAGAAGGAAGCAGCCCCAGAAATCCTCAAAGTGACTCTGGACCCATGGGTCAAACATGGGTAAAGAAACCTGCACATATGAATCTTCCTCAGCTGATGAAACAGTATCCCTTCGTGCTGATGATCACTTAGAGCACTAAAGGCAGCAAAGGCACACAACATAATCTGGGTGGACGATTTCAATGTCCATCCCCAGGTTGAAGTGGTCAATTCTTGACAGACATAGCTGCTAGACTGGGACTATAACAGGTGGTGAAAACACTTAAGATGGAATTCTCACTTGAACTATTCTTCAGCAATCTATCTGTCACAGACTTTATTTGTCCATGACATCAGGTAGGAATGATCACACATAGCCATCATGGCAATGAAGTCCTAACATTCGCACAGAGGGGCCCCTCCAGCTCGTCAACAGTCACTACCACAATGCTAAATGGTATTGATTCAGAACAAAAGAGCATTTGGTGACGCTTTTTCAATTTAAAAATACCTAACGAGCACTCCGAAATCTTTACAAGATCTGAATTATAAGGAATTGCAACATTTTTATCTAATATTACTATATGGTACATTTGGCAGTCAAATGTGATTTTGTTTTCAAGATACAGCTCTGCTCGGCATTTATTGTCTGATGCAATAGTACTTTTGCTGTGCTTCCCCTTCACATATCACACTGTCTAACCATAAATAATTCGAGAAAACATGTCAACTTGAAATTGATGAATTTAAGATGAAGATAGAGAAAGGCTAGAAAGCTGTGCTAAGAGGACTGGAAGGATGGGAGGAAACCAATGTGGAGTATAAATACTGCACAGTCCAGCAACTTGCTTCTCTGTTCTACACTGCATAAAATCAAAACAGTTTGCTCCCATTCCTGTTGGTAATACGCATTTGTAACTCAAAATGCATGTGGAAGTTATACTTACATTCTACTAGATTATTTTGTAATGGCGTCCCAGTAAGAATAATCCTCCGTTTGGTTTTAATAGAATTCATTGCCTTTGATATAGCGGAAGCTTCATTTTTAAGCACATGACCTTCATCACATACAACAAAGTCAGGACCTACAGGAGAAACAAAGCCATTGTAAATTCACAAAGAAATATCCAAAAACTTTAGCAGAAATCACTTTTACATGACTTTGTCCATATGACGTTAAAATCATAGGTTCTAGTTTTGGTAAAACACTAGGTAGAATGCAAAACAACTCAGTAGCTGGAAATAAATTTAAAATTGTCAATTAAAAAACTCCTATTGATATACTTCATCCTTGTACTTATTAGAAATTCCTACTCTGTAATAACATACTAATAGACAAGATATCCTAAAGCTATGACAGAAAGATTTTTTAAAAATTAAGACACCTGCATTGGATACATTTACTTCAACGACAACAAATTCTTTAGTTGCTTCAACAAATGAGAGTTCAGTTAAAAAATTGTCTACAGTCTAGAGTGATGTCTCATTAAATGTTTGGCCAATTCACAACTTGCATACAAAAGGAAGAATGAATGGAACCAATGCCTTTGTAACACGTTTGCTTGTCCTGAAGGCACTCGACTTTGTTCTTAAAATGCTGAAATTATTTGATGATAGATGTTTCCATTTGGTCTATTTAAAAGTTCAATTTTTTCCCCATCATGCTTTGGGATCCAGCTTGCAAGTTGAAATGTGCTTATATCTCAGTATGGGATACCCCATGGTGCAGTCCAGTGCTATAAGCATACCTTCGATATCCAAGAATTCTGCACATGAACCACACAACCAACCCAGCAAACTTGAACTTGAACCTTGGCGCTGGGGATTTTGTACTGCCATCTGAAGTTGTGGCTGGATCTCAGACAGAGAAGATGGAAGGCCTCCAGCTGCTTTGTGCGCTGCTAGTGAGTTGCCCAAGTCTTGCAGCCATAGAGAAGTGATGCAAGGGCCACTGCCTTGGAGACTTTGAGCATTGTTCAGAGATTCATTCTTTTTCCAAAATTGTAAATGAGTTTGCTAAACACTGAGCTTGCTATTGACAAACGATGGCTTGTTTCGTCAACCAGTTGTACTGGAGAGGATACTCAAGATGGTGTTATGATTCCAGCTGATGTTATTACTGGATAAGTCAAATCTGACTGAAATCTAGCCTGATGGAATTTTTTTTTGTGTTTTAACATTACCTAGAAGGCAATGGAAGTAAATGACCTTGAAAACGTGTTTCACTAGTCAAGATCACAAAGGCTGTACACACTACAGGATTTCATGCTGCATCATGAAAAAACATTTAATTGTATTGCATATGCTCGAAAGCAGCACTCTAAGCAGAGGAGGATTGCAGATAGTTTAGAAAACAAATTCCCAGGCTTTTCAATCCAAAATCCAAGCCTTTTACAAGAATGTGTCATTGTGAATTGAGAACAGTTCACTAGAAGTTTTTTTTACATCTACTGTTGTTTATCAGAATCTGAATTGGTTTTTGATTTAGACTGTGAACATGTCAGATTACATAAAGATTCACGTGGGACCAGGGCCATCTTGGCTGTCATGAAGCTTTGCTTAATGAATCTAGAGACGATGCTTACAGATTTTACTTACGTGGAATGAAGCAAAGGTGTTCACATGTAATTCTGGGTGTTGGCCACTGAGCACCATTGTCGATAGCAATTGTCATAGTATCCATGTTGATACCATTTTCTGAACCAGCAAATCCTCGAATTAAAACTTTGCACTACATTTTTGTCCCAAAAAGATCCTGCCACATTTCGTCCTACCATCTTTCTCACTCCGCTCATCCTGATTTTCAAAACTCCAACTAAGGTGCCCTATAATTCCCAAGACAATTCTGGAAGTATTGCCCACTTATGCCTCAATAGAATTGTTGCCATTTGATGTACCACAGCTGAATTTTGGCCAACAGCTATGTCTAGCACTACAAATCAACCATCTGGAAGACATGTTAGTTTATTGTTAGAAGATTGCCAAATAATACGTATGGCCAAAGCATATACAGTCTACCCTGATAAAATTTATGCTTTGTATCAGAAGTGGAATTATTCAATAATTTGAATCAAGCAGCAACCTTTTAATTAAGAGTCGACTCTATTGCAGAAAAGGCAAGTTTTACCTGAATATCTAGAAAAGCATCAATTCATGCAACACAGCACTTCCCCTTCAATCCTATTTTAATTTAAACTATTTCCATATTAAAATATTCAGTAAGTTGCACAGAGCCTTTGTTCTATCTTGAGCACAAAATATGATGCCTTGGGTTCATTAACTTTGCTCTGCACCCTTATAGCAATAAAAGGAAAACACATTGCATCATCTTACTAAATTTTCTAAAACCTCATCTAATCACTACTAAACTTTTTGTATTTTGTCTACTACATTACTTGCACTAGCTTTTCTAATTAAAATGAGTAAATTTAATATTTTAATAAATATATAATGTGTTTTTAAAGCTTTTAAAAGTAGGTTGATTGAACGTTTCTGTCATCTGTTTACCCTGGAAAGGTCTTTTTCTCTTATTCACAGTAACTTTCATTCCTTTCTTCAAATTTTGCTTTCTTTTTGAAAGGAATCACTGCTTTATAAACAAATGGGCTAATTTCTTAAATCAAACACACACCTCTTCATGAATATAGCTTTACATTTATGCACCATAACTGGGTAAAATAAACATACACTTCGATGTTATGAATATAAACAAACTCAAAAGAAAACAAGTTAAAACCGTTAAAAACCAAAAGAACTGCGGATGCTGTAAATCAGGAACAAAAACAAAGTTGCTGGAAAAGCTCAGCAGGTCTGGCAGCATCTGTGAAGGAAAAAAAACAGAGTTAACGTTTCGGGTCCGGAGACCCTTCCTCAGAACATTATTGGATTCATACCACTGGCAATACTGTACTGAAACTATGATTTGACATTAATGATGATACTTTTCACGGTTTACAAAAAAAAATAATCAGAGCTTTCTGCAGATAACATGTAGCGAAACAAAAATAACAAATTAATGTTTAGTTGAAGCAGAATTTAAGGAGAATCTTTAAAAGGGCTGAGGGAGAAAAAAATGATGACAGTTTCAGGAATTATTTCAACATGTGGGGGTTTGTCAATATAAGCCCTGCCATCTATGGTAGAGCAAGGGAAGCAGGAAATGCACAAAACTAAGATTCAGAGGGACACAGAACAGGGGAAAACGGCAAAGTTATAGTGCTGAACAAAGGCCCCAGTTTTTCAACACAGAATCAAGTCAACAGATTTAGAGCTGACAGATGAGCAGGACCACTTCTAGGTGCTAGATTTTTAAAAGAAGTAAAGTTGACAGGCGAGGGCAGTCAGTTAAATATTGGTATGGTTTAGCATGTGGATATAGGAATGTGGATATAGGAATACAGAAACAGGAATAAGCCATCAGCCTCTCAAGCCTATTCTGCCATTCAGCGAGATCATGGCTGATCTGCGGCCCAACTCTATATACTTGCCTTTGGCCAATGTCCCTTCGTACTCTTGTTTAACAGAAGTTTAACTGTCTCAGATTTAAAATTACCAACTGATCTTGCATCCATTGCTGTTTGTACATGACAAAAGGATGTGTGCTTCAATGGCAAATGTTAGGAAACAGAGGCAGACAATGTGTAGATGCAAATAGGACATCTTTGAGATACAGAAATATCTTTGATCTGAATTTGATAGCCTAAGACAGAGAAGTCACAAACTGGGGCGGCACGGTGGCTCAGTGGTTAGCACTGCTGCCTCAGTACCAGGGACCCGGGTTCAATTCTGCCCTCGGGTGACTGTCTGTGTGGAGTTTGCACATTCTCCCCGTGTCTGCGTGGGTTTCCTCCAGGTGTCCCGGTTTCCTCCCACAATCCAAAGATGTGGAGGCTAGGTGGATTGGCCGTGCTAAATTGCCCGTAGTGTTCAGGGATGTGTAAATTAGGTGGGTTATAGGGGATGGGTGTGGGTTGGTGTGGATTTGTTGGGCCAAGGGGCCTGTTTCCAACCTGTAGGGATTCTATTCTATGTCCGGTTTGGGCCAAACCTACATTGTTGGAGAAGGCAATTTCATCAATAAAAATAGTACGAAGTTTGTAGTAGGGATGTTAGCTTTGGTTTCTCAATACTTATTTTGTGATCTTGTAGAAGACACTTGTTAGACCTCAGCTTGTGTGGGGTGTACAGTTCTGGATGGCACACCGTACAAAGGATGTAATGCACTGGAGACAGTGCAACAAGCATCATTCCAAGGCTGTGAACCTGCATTATGAGGGGTACTGGAGGGATTGGGAGTGCTCTTCATGGAAATAAGGCAGCTAAGAGAAGGTTTGACAGAAATACTTTAAATCATGAGGGGAACGGAAAAAATTGATACTGAGAAACTCTTACTGCTTCTAAAAGGTTTAAGAACAAAAAGGAGACCAAATCAAAAGTGATTTAAAAAAGAAACAAATATGATGTGAGAAAATGTTTTTCTTTACACAAGTGGTTCATATCTGGAATGCACTGGGAGCAGAGTTCAAATGAGACATTCAAAAGAACAATGCTTCTATTTAAATAATACTCCAATGTGCAAGTATTGGGGTGAAGATAGAAGAATAGTACTAAGTCATGATGCTGATTTGGAGTGCCAGCACAGATAAGATGGGCCAAATGGTGTCCATCTGTGCCATAACAGTTCTGTAATTCTGGGACAAAATTGCAGAGTTAGAACTGGATTCTTGTCAGCACGTGAAAACTGGTCACATTTTGATACGTTCTTCCCTCGATAGCAGCATGTATGTGGGAGAAAAGGAGGGATAAATCCTTAGGTAACACAGTATTGATTTTCTTCACCCTCTAGCAATATCTACTCAGTTCATTTTAACCTGAGTAACATCCTGGCTCAGATTAAATAATTCAGCATAGACTATATATTAGCTCCATGTTGAATTCATCTCTATTAGACTTAGCTGCAGCACTCACTGAATAAACCTGCCGAATAATTGTAGTAATCACTAGACTAGGTGCAGTGGCTCCTTATCATCTAGTGAAATATGATCATGTGGCTTTTTATCTTTCCCTTGCAAGTCAAATAATATTTAACATTGAGAAGTGAAGTGGGATAAAGGGTCAGGCACAATGATGCACTGAGTAATCATTCAAGCAGCTGGTTGCTTGCTCTGCTGGAAGAGACATGAGAAGGGAGACTGGTATAGAGACACTTTGCATGGCAAGATATAGATTAGTAAAGGAAAATTTTTTTTAAAAATCAAGTAAAATCCAAAACCACTGCTCCATTTCTAAAAAAAAAGACATCTTTTATCTAAAAAATAGCAGTTAAAATATACAGAGGAAAGTAATCACAGCAATCACATTTAAAAAGACCAATTTCTTCTAAGAGTTCAAAGTTTGGAAAAAACAGCCTTTTTGTACAGTAGAAACTTCAAGATAAGAACCTGCTGATCTTTCAACTTTTTGGAACTGGAGATGAAGAGGTCATTAAATGAGCTACTGCAAGCTGGCAACTATTTGCAATTACGAATTAATTACTGTTAACCACCACCCCCACTACAACCACTGGCAGGCTAAGTAATGTTTCTTGGTCAGTATTTTAAGCTTTACAGCATCATGTTTTCCAGGCTCTCAAACAATTTTCAGTGCCAACTTTCCTCTTTTCATTTCTTACGGACTGGAATGAGGTCAAATAGATAGCTCCCTCATGTGTGGCTGAAAAAAGGTAGCTGCAACAAGTAAACAGATAGAGCGTTTTCTTTTAACTTACTTAAAGAGAGAACACAATCTTGCACATCATCCAAGTATTTCATATTTTAACTTTCAAAGGTAATATTCAAAAATGACAGAACACTAAGTGTAAGTTTAACACACTTTGGAAATGGCAACTTGACGCAAGGCACATGATTAAACTGTCTTTATAGTTCTATGTGGAACAAGATGTAAATAACCATCTCTGAAAACTACAAATGAATGTAACATCCACAGCAGCAGGATCTACAGAACTTGCTGGAACGAACAGGTGATTTTGCTTTTCGTTTTGGTTGAGGTCAGTATGCAAATGAAGGGGTACCAAGTCATGGTAAAAATGATGTTTCTTCGAAAAAAATGTTCACAGAATCGAGACCCTTTTTTGCTTCCAACTTTCATGTAAGCATTAAGAAAGATCCCCCCGTCAATTCAGATATCGCATCCAAATTCTCAAACTCTCAGGAACTCAAACATATTCACCAGGAGTTGCAGGTGCTCTGTGACAGAATGGCAGGCAACATTTAATTCTCAAGTATTTATTCAATTTATCATAAAAATAACTTGGTCCAACTAAAGATTACCAACTATGAAGAGTCATCAATATACAAGTAGGATTCACAATTCAAAATGTGGAACCTTAAAGTTCTTCCTTTTAATGCTTCACCTCAAAAAAAGGCCGACTCAGGAAATGCACCAGAGTTGTAGGGAGAGGAAACTATAAAAAAGACTAGAAAGCCGGTCCCAGCAAAATATCTATGCATCCCATAGCAGGGATCAAATTTTTTTGATTTGAGTACTCAGATTTTTCAGGGCTTCTTTGATTTTCAGGAGTTTCTTTCTCATGCTTACCAACTCCTATGTCAGGTTACGCAGTTACATAGTAACATTTACTCCTGGATTTGTGTGGAGTCGTTTGAGAGATTTTTTTTAAGATAGCACATATAACCAAAGACTGTGCATGTATATTTTAAGTGTTTTAATTTGGAATCTATAAATGCTTTTGTTGATACATCATAAATCTCGCATGCTCAGTTACTGAAATGAAAGTTCTAATTCTTTGCACAAGATGACTGATCGGGAATGAATCTCTTCCATAATTAATAATTTTAAAATGAATTAATGGCAAACTATATATGTTTAATTTTGTGCCAAATTCTCAAAATTTGAAACAAATTTTTTTCCAGTAACATTATGGATATTATTTTTGATAATTTAATTTGCAATTTTTGAAAGAGTACTAAAGCCATTTAAAAAAAAAGGAACAGCTCACCTGGATTTACTAAAGTCCGGTGGAATATTTCTTTCAATTTCTTGCTTTTCACATTCCTGCCTTGTGCAAGATTACGGTACATTTCATAACCTAGAATCGTGACACCACCATCTTCCATCCATCTTTCAAGCATGTAGGCCCGCTCCTGAGGACGTTTTACTGTTGCTAATTCATTTACCTTTAGAACAGAAAATAATACTAAATGAACTATACTTCTGAATATTAGTCAAAGAATCAATGATTCAAAATGGGTGTAAAGCAAATTTTCAAATAACGTTTTTTAACAAGGAAGTAAAAAATCCTAAAGGATATCTTTATAAATGAGTTCCTGAACACATCTTCAATTACAGGAATATTTTACCATGATGATCATTGATGCTCCAAAGATCCGCAAAACAGCACCTTCCCACAATCACTTCCATCCAGAAGGACAAGGACAAAGTCGATACGTGGGAATACCACCTGCAAGTTGCCCTCCAAATCATTCCCCAGCTGGCTTGTAAATATATCGCCATTCCTTTACTGATAGTGGATCAAAACCCTGGAATTCTGTCCTTAATGGCATTGTGGGTCATCCCGCAGCAGGTGGATTGAAGCTGTTCAAGGCAGCAGCTCACTACCACCTTCTCAGGGGCAACTAGGGACAAGCAATAAATTCTAGCCAGCCAGCGACACCTACATCCCATGAATGAATAAATAAAAAATTAAGAGTCTATTCAACATGCTTCCATTTCTATATGTTGATACAGCCATGCATGGTTATTCAGTGCAGGCAGACAGATGCTTGATCCCTAGCTAGTGGCTGTTTTTTAATGCTCTATATTCTCTTGAATCCAGGTATTAAGCATCCAATAATTGCTGTCCATTTTCAGGTTGAATAAGGTTAAGGCAGCTGGTAGCAATAATTGTCATGTCGTGCACACAGAGGAAAAGGGAAGGAACTAGTGCAGCAGATACTGCAGAGTTATTGAGCTGAGACTTGCTGAGTAGTGACAGCCAAATATTGGAAGAAAGGAAACTGGTAAGAGAGAGAAGGCTGCTCACAATTGCAACTTTTAAAAATACCAATTTTGTGCTGCTTGAATTAATTAGAAGTTGTCAACAATGTCCATATTACAGTGGCGGTGGTGGTGGACATCTTAATATGCATAAAGATGAATAAATCCCCAGGACCTGATCAGGTGTGCCCTAGAACTCTATGGGAAGCTGAGGAAGTAATTACTTGGCCCTAGTTGAGCTACTTATATTAAATTGATAGTCACAGGTGAGGTGCTGAAAGATTGAAGGTTGGCTAACCTGGTGCCACTATTTAAGAAAGGCAGTAAGGAAAAGTCAGGGAACTATGCATCAGTGAGCCTGACATCAGTGGTGGGGATCCGGAGGGACCAGGATTTACATGTATTTGGAAAGGCAAGGACTGATTAGGAATAGTCAACATGGCTTTGTGCGTGGGAAATCATGTCTCACAAACTTGATTGAGTTTTTTGAAGAAGTGACAAAGAAGACTGATGAGTGTAGAGCGGTGAATGTGATCTATATAGGCTTCAGTAAGGCGTTCAAGAAGGTTCCTCATGGCAGACTGGTTAGCAAGGTTAGACCACATGGAATACAGGGAGAACTAGCCAATTGGATACAGAACTAACTCGAAGGTAGAAGACATAGGGTGGTGGCAGTGGAGGGTTGTTTTTCAGACTGGAAGCCTGCAACTAGTGGTGTATCACAAGGATCAATGCTGCGTCCACAGCTTTTCATCATTTATATAAATGATTTGGATGTGAACATAGGACGTATGGTTAGTAAGTCTGCAGATGACACCAAAATTGGAGGTGTAGTGGACAGAGAAGAAGGTTACCTCAGAGCACAACGGAATTGTGATCAGATGGGCCAATGGGCCAAGGAGTGGCAGATGGTGTTTAATTTAGATAAACGTGAGGTGCTGCATTTTGGGAAAGCAAATCAGGGCAGGACTTACACACTTAATGGTAAGGTCCTCAGGATTGTTGTGAACAAAGATCTTGGAGTGCAGGTTCATAGCTCCTTGAAAGTGGAGTGGCAGGTAGACAGGATAGCCAAGGTGTCGTTTGATATTCTTTCCTTTATGTCAGTGCATTGAGTATAGGAGTTGGGAGGTCATATTGCAGCTGTGCAGGGCATTGGTTAGGCCACATTTGGAAATCTGTGTTCAATTTTGGTCTCCCTGCTATGGGGTTGATGTTGGGTAACTTGAAAGGATGCAGAAAAGATTTACAAGGATGTTGCCAGGGTTGGAGGGTTTGAGCTATAGGGAGAGGCCAAATAGGCTGGGGCTATTTTCCCTGGAGCATTGGAGGCTGAGAGGTGACCTTGATATTTTTAAGATCACATGGGGCATGGATAGGGTGAATAGACAAGGTCTTTTCCTCCGGGGTGGGCGAGTCCAAAACTAGAGGGCAAATGTATAAGGTAAGAGGGGAAAGATTTAAAAGGGACCTGAGGGGAAAGATTTAAAAGGGACCTAAGGGGCAGATTTTTCATGCCGAGGGTGGTGCGTGTATGAAATGAGCTGCTAGAGGAAGTGGAGGAGGCTGGTACAATTGGAATCTGGATGTGTGTGTGAATAGAAAGGGACTAATGCTGGAAAATGGGACTAAATTAATTTAGAATATCTGGTCGGCATGGACAAGCTGGACCAAAGGGTCTGTTTCCATGCCATACAGCTCTATGGCGCTATAAACATTTACTTCATATTGGATCAGAATTCACTTGCTGTGCATCATTTTGACTTCAAAAGTTTTATCCTGGTTTTTAAAACACCGTAAACTTGTCTTAACCTAATTCAGGAAACACATCTCAGTAGCCTGTATCACTATGTTTCTCACCCCATACTCCACTACTTCAGCTTCTGATAGGCATTACATAAGGGAGATCGTGGTTTAGTGAATTAGTAATCCTGAAGTTCAGGCTTATGCTCTGGGGATATGGGCTCAAATCCTACCAGGGCACAAATTTAACAAATAAATCTGGAATTGAAAGTTAGTAACGGTGACCATGACAATTAATCAATAGATTCCAAAATGTCATCTGGTTCACTAATGTCTTTTAGGCAAAGAAATGTGCCTTAGCGAGAGCGGCCTACATAACCCCAGACCCATAACAGGGCAACTTTAACTGCCCTCTGAAAAAGCAGCAACCACTCAGTTCAAAGGCAATTAGGAACAAGCATCCAATGCTGACCTTGCCAACGGCATTCACAGCCCAGAGAATAAAGAAATAAAACTCTCCACTCCAATCTCACATTTGCCATCCATTTTTTGCTTTTGAAAGATTTAGACTCTTCATTTCCTCTTTATCGGTCTTTCAACGTTGTGACAAAACAGCCTTGAAGGACTGAATGGTCTGCAGCTGTACAGCTATTCGGTGACAAAACAAGGGAGAGAGTAGGCCAGGTGTCAAATGGCTGCAGTTTAATCGATCATGGAGGCCAAAAGAGAATAAAACTAAACCAGATTATTGTAGGACTCACTATATATTTTAATCTGATATACAGATAGAGTCTATAAACTACAACTCCGAAAAAACCCCAAGCTCGAAATAAAAATCAAAGTATACAGTACCTCTAAACATTCATCATCATCCAGTCCTTCCTGCCATTTGGCAAATTCATTAATCCAATTAAGAACTGTGTTAAGTGGACAAACAATTAAGGCAGTACTGAAGTTCAGTTTCTCGGCCAACAACATGGTGTGCAAGAAGGTCACCACCTGCAACCAAAACATGTTAAGTTGTACTTCAAACATTTACTGTATTTTTCTAATTGTTTTCCTTATCGACCATGCTGTCTAAATGCACAAAAAGGCAACACAGAACAAGTTACATCAAAAGACTCAGATTCACTAACAGGGAATGCTTTAAAATCATTTTTGTCAATGTAGAAGAATTAGCCAAAAATGGTGAAAAGAATTTAATAAGGTTCAAAAGGTATAGGTCAAGAAACCCAAAACATCAAATATATTTTCAAAAAAAGAATAATGTTGAAATGGCTGTAGCTTTGATCACATTAAGTTTCTACTAAAGTCCATCTCACAGGAAACAGAATATAATTATGATACTGGAGCTGAGGGAAATGCATATTAAGTACAAATCTGTACTTACACATTCAAGTTTCAGTTAAGAATCTGAAGATGATTCATTAAACACCTTATTATATTACCACAAGAAATAGAGGATTCATATAGACCAAAATGACAGTCAATTTGACGAGGAGCGTTCTGGAATCCCAATAAAGTACTTCACTGAACAGTTTAATGAACAATTCAATTAAATGCATTCTTCTGCAGAATTTTAAGACCTTTGTCATTCACTCGATAATATATTCTGGTTACGTGTGCCACCACAATGCACAAACTTTTCAGTTTTTGTTGGAATGGACAGATTTGTGCTTGATCAGATCCATACAGACAAAAAAAAAATTCTGGTCTTTCACACTTTTAATGCAAATTGATCGCAGTTAATTACTTCATATATGCCTACCCATAGTATTGAAAAGTCTGGGTCATACAGCATAGCCAAACAAATTTCAACATCACTGGACAATTGCTTGAGAAGTGGGTGCTGACAATGACGTCCTATTTTGAATGTAGACCAGGTTACATTTGAGATTGCAAGAGTCAGCAAAAAAAAAAAAAAAAATTCTTCCCTGTAAATTGCAATTGATTGAACTGTTCAATTCTAACTTTATATCTGAAGTTAATTTTTTAACGTGCATTTTATATTATTGTCCACCCCCCACTTTTCACAGCAAAAAGCTAACCTTATTCACAACAGATGAGCGGTTCCACATAACTAATGCTGTTCTCTCCCCCTTCATCTGTTGCTTCAGTACAGCACTTCTGTCAGGAGGCAGAGAGAAAACCACCTTTTCAATAGTGAACTGAGGTGCGTTCTGAATAAACTTGGCCGATTTGCCACAAACCAAAAATTTGTCTGTTTTGAGGAAGAGATAGATAATGTGGTATTTTAACCTCATCTGTTCTACTAAAGAGTCTTTCTTGCTGCCCCTTCACTGCTCCTCTTTGGCTGACCCACTTTATAGCATGTTTAGAAATATTAAAAAACCAACTCTGATTTTGGCATAAACAAAAGAAATTTTGACTCCATTCCATTTGTAACCAATATCTACCATTCTGCACTTACATGCACTGTCTGAAGAAATAAGTCACTTAGTTTTATACTCATCATCTGTTGATGAGTATAAAACTACAAACATCTGTTCACTGAAACAGCACATACTGATCTCAATCTGGTTGAGTGCACACTTCCAATATGAAAAATTGCTGTGTGTTAAATCAGATTAACTCGAGTTTCATTTTTTAGCTCCAAGATAATATTTCCCTGTAGGAATGCTATAGCAGAGAAGTTCCATGTTAAAAACCATATTGTAAAACATTTAAGATGACCACGGACCCACAGCACAATCAAAAACCTTGATAATATCAATAGTGAGATGCTTAGGAATTTTACACTTTCTGCAAGAATCAGAAAGTTTTAAAAAGTTGCAAGCTCACATGATATATCACCAGTTTCTGTGCTTATGTTTTTTTGCAGGCTAGACCCTTACCTGTAATGTCTTTCCAAGTCCCATACAATGTGCCAAAATGCACCCAGACCCATTCTCCTTTAAGGCTTTGCTCACCGATTCACAGCAACAATCCCACATGAATTGCACACCTGCACAAATAAACACAAATTTTTGATATCTACATAACTTGAAAAGTGAATAGATAAACACTTCAATTCTGTAAAATGTGCACTTTATTGGACTGTAATTTTAACTGCAAGTGTCTTAAAACAGCGAGAAACCATTCGTGGAACACTATTACCTCTTAAAAATCAACACAAATGTCAAGATGGCTCAAGCAGTCAACTGTAAAAATAAGCCATCATTGGGTCAGCAAAAGGAGGAGATTGTTTGGAATGATCAGTGACAGCAGATTTCAGCATATGAAGCACATCTTAGACTGCTCTCATGCAAAAAAACAAATGCAGCTGGATGCCTAGAGGTAGCCATGTGACTGTAGGGCAGTCCAATTAGGTGGGCAATTGTCAAGATGTCCACCACCCTCCCCCAACCCTGAAAATGACTCAGCAAGTGTCTCAAGATCAAGCAAGATCCAGGGCCCGTGCACTCATGGTTCAGTCAAAGTTATCCAAGAAATCTCATAGGAAACACAGGTCGAGATGATTAAGCACATGTATTGTCATGAAGGAAAAGGACAGGTGTACAGACAGTCACAATTTCGACATGCAAATAAATTATGAAACTTGATTTCTGTCCTTAAAACGTTCTTTCAATGTTGCTTGTGAGGATAAAGCGTACAAAACCTCAGACAGAATAAAATATAGGGAATATGTTGGTATTGAAGCTCCTACAGCTCAGGATATCATAAGTGTACATGAAAATGTTAGGCAGAAGGCATTGTTTATTGGAATTAGCATCACACTAACCTTGTCATTGGAATAAAACTCACATCTTTTACATCTTGTCTTCAAATGGATTTACTGCCCATTGCCCTCATCCTGTTTTTGGCAAAGTTGTGCTGTATTAAGTAGACAATTTTGCATGCCACCTACCAAGGGGCATAACAAATTATCTGCTTGTGCATTACTTATCTTAATGAAGTACTCCACAACTATTCAGGTGGTATAGTGGAATTGTTTGCATCTACTGATCATTACCCTAATTATAAATCAGCTCAGGAACAAAGAGGCCTCACCCACAAGAGTGAGCTGCTTGTTTTCTCATCACCAAATTGTGTAAGCATGAACACAGAAAAACAGAATGACACATCCAGACTGGCAATGGGAAATGCATAACACACCATTTGTCAGAGATCCACACACACACTAATTGATGTCATCTCTGCCAATTCATGTGCATACATGTGGTGGTTCTACAGACCATATGGCGGTCCAATCCAGCGCCTTGCACCCTTCTTGCAGAAAAAATAGTGTGCCTTTACCATTGGATAAGTATTTTTTTTCTGCACATCAGATAAAGTGTCCCAGCCCCAATCATTTTGTGGAAAACATTATACTCATTCATTTTGTGCAACAGTAATTTTTTCCAAGCTGATGCCTGTTTAACATGGATGGATCCAGTACTACAGAAATGTAACTCCGCAATGACGTAGACAGCAATAGGATAAGCTAGTTAGCAGTTGAAAAAAGTTAGGTCCTGGAGCTACATGCATGAACTATCAACTGATAGCTACTACGAGGCATCATATAAATACTTTACTTACCATCAACTTGATGAGGCTTCAGTTTCCTCACCAAATTTCTATGGACCTGGACGATAGATTCATTTGTCTCCTTGTCTTCATCAAGGACTAATTTAGTGGTTATTGGACACTGCATTGGGGACATATCTTCAGACACAACCTGCTGTAAATTTTAAATGAAATTGGACAATTCTTAATTTTGGAGAACTTATACATATGAACTTCATAATTTAGCACGTTGCTCACAATGGGGAAGTGGTGTTTGGTGAACTTGTTTGGGGATTGTGTAGCTATAATCTCAAACAATATTGGGGGTTTATGGATGTTTTTAATAATACAAATGCAAGCAAAGTGTGTAACTTTCTCCCCACAAGAGGTGCAGGGGTTATATCATAGATATAGACCAACTGGCCCTACAAAGCTTTCTACAGCAATGGCAACTTTTTCATGTTTCTTCACTGGATTTAGTAGAATTTAATTCTTCAGCTAACACAGACATTCATTGCAACCAAAAAGGGAATTTTGCTCGCCAGTTACTGCTAAATATCCTCCTTGAGCAGTATTTCCAAACTGATTATACATGGGAATTTCCTGAATTAAGGTCATGAATCCAGTATTTCTGAGTGCAGATTTAAAACTTAGATGAGTTATTCCTGCTGTCTGCAATCACCTCAAATGAATTCATCGGAATTCACTTTGCCCACTGGTTATTCAAAGACAATGAGATCCCAAACATTCACTTTAAATTAAAATGGGGATGTACAGTAATAGTAGTGTGCCATTAATTACAGCCAGCAGTCACTTGAGAGCTGCTTTACCAGAAAAAATGTTTACTCTTAGTTTTGGCAATCAATCAAATGCTGCACTCTTAAATTGAGTGTGCTTAATTTATTAGCAGGAAACTATTTTCTCACAAGGATCTTTTATTTCTATACATGAAAGTGCTACATATTCATCAGGATTTCAAGTTCACACTCCTCAAGGATCTTCAAGTGTAAAGCAGCATAAACTTTTCCATGTGTCAGTTATGATATTTAAAGTTGGTAGCTCATACACGTTAAAATCTAGCTGCAGGCAATAAGAGTATTTAGGCAAGTCACAGACCCCTCAATGAGGTTTCACTGTCGTTTCTTATCTAATTGCCAAAGGGATCTCAGCATGAATATTTGCAGAAAGTCTTTCACAAAGGTTAAATTTAAAGTAACACTTTCCGACATCACCGATGACCATCTACTTTTAGCTGTCTACATCATGGAATTACAAAAGGTGACCTACAATCTCATACAGATAATTTCAAACTAGGCAAGTCTAACTGTAATTTTTCCACCAAAGGCACTTTCAGTTAACATTTGTATAACATTTAAAATTCACTTCATTTACTATGTGTCTGAAAACAGATATTTCATCTTGCTTCCATATGGTTCCTCCCTTTAATTGAAAAATCTAAAACGCAATACACAGAACTAGTCTGTTACCTTATGACAATATATATATAGGATTAGTGCTTTCAAAAAAAAAAGTTGCACCATCTTCCTTTTAGATTAATAAATTACAATTTAGTTATACAAGTAAAGAAAGAGATAATTAAACCTCATTTATTTTCTTTCTTTATTTTCACCCCTCCCCCATTTCAACTAAGCAATAACTGTAAAATGAATTGCGTTTAAGAACGCAGTAATGTTTAAGCTGAATACATCTCAACAAAATATTCACAATTAAATATCTAATTCAAGATAAAAAAGTTTCTTCTTTGTCTTGACTAATTTGTATTGCTTAATGACAGCATGCAGCAGCACTCTGCAATAAGACTTTTCTAATGCTCAAATTATTCTTTATTCTGACCAAGTAAAAAAAAAATTGAATGCATGGCAATTCATAGCCTAAGATACCATAAAATCAAAAATGAATTACAAGCTATGCTTTGGATTCCCTTTTATCCTACAAGCATCCATAACTATGCCAAACACATGAACGTGCACATATATAGAAAATAATTCAACACCTCTCGCAACTTTTCTCTCTCTTTTTCTCGATCCGCGATGCGTTTTCTTCTATCTTCCTCTTCTTTCAAGGCATTTTGAGTTTCTGTACGTAAATTTCCGTCTTTCAAAATCTTTCTAATCTTCTTCCGACCTTTCCCCGGGGATTTGGAATCATTGTCATTACTATCACCGTTACCCTCATCTTCAGAGTTACTTTGCTTAAGGAAAAGAAAAAGGGACAGGATCTAATTTGATACATAAATAAGAACAATTACAACATATGAAATATATTTAGGTAACAGATGGAATGGGAATGAGCGTCTGGCCTTTCCAGTGCAGAGGAAGCTGCAACATCAGCAGCAAGCACAGTACATTAAATCAAATGTATGATCATTGTTTCAATTGGAAGGATGTTTGGGTCTTTGGATAGTGAGAAAGGAAGTAGCAGAGGGTAACATTTCCTGCATTTTTACAGAAAATTGTTGTGGAAAGGGGTAGGCGTGGCGGGTAATTGAAGAATGCTCAGGTTGTCAGAGGGCAAGGCTCCTTCACAAAACAGAGAAAAAGAGGGATAAAATTATATCTGCAAATACAACGGATGTGGGGAACATTATGTAATACATTTAGGGTATGTTGTGTCAGGATAGTGGCCCTTTAAGTACTGAGTCACACTGATGAGTCATTAGCCAGCTTTGTGAGCTAGTTCAGATTCTTACAGAGTGCTTAGCTTCAGAATAAAGCCTCCCCATTGGATTGCAACAAATAATGAATTTCTTTGTGCTTTAGTTCTGACTGGAGCCTAGTAACTGCCCAGTACAGAATAGGGAGATGAAAATGGATTTTCCATTGAATTCAGAAGTTGAAATGGAAGGTAAGAAAAAAAAAACAGCAAACATCCTGGGCTTTATAAATAGTGACAGAGTACAAAAGCAGTATGATTTTGCAGAATTTAAACACTGGTTCAGCTTCAACTGTACTGCATTGTATGCAGTTCTGGGTACCACACTTTAGGACAGATCTGAAGTCTTCTTCAATGGTACAGAAAAGATGCACAAGAACAGTTCTAAGGGTTAAGGGCTGCAGCTAGTTACAAAAATAAATTGGAAGAGCTGGGATTGTTCTCAGGAAAGAGAAGGTTGATTGGAGATTTGATAGATGTGTTAAAAATTATGAATTGCTGAGAAAAGGTTCTGAGGAGTCACTGGACGCAAAATGTTAACTGATTTCTCTCCACAGATGCTGCCAGACTTGCTGAGATTTTCCAGCAATTTCTGCTTTTGTTTCTGATATCCAGCATCTGCAGTTCGTTTGGTTTGATGTTAAAAATCATGACTGACCAGGAGGGAGTAGATAGGAGGAAACTGTTCATATTGGCAGCAGAATCAAAAAATCAGAGGACCAGTTTAAGCAGAATGAAGAAAGAATGGAAAAGATAACAGCTGGAGAAATGTTAAAGTAGGGGCTGGAATGCACTGCCCGAGAAGATGGAAAGCAGCTTCAATTGTGACTTTTGACAGCACATTGTACAATTATCTGAAGTCATGTAAGTACAGGACTAATTTTGGGGGAGTGAAAGAGTACAGACTGGCTGACCTGCTCATCCCAGCTCAGACATGATTGGCTGAACGACGTTCTTTTGTGCTATAACCAGTCTGTTGGGCTAAGGAAAACCATGTTATATTTATACAAGGGAGGAAAATGGTGACAGCAGAATGCAGAAAATGGGATGGGCCATTTTCCAAAAACGTTCACTCCCTGCACCAGCGACAGTCAGTAGCAACAGTATGTGCTGCAGACGTTTGCCAAAGATCCTTCGACAGCACATTCCTAACCCATGTGCACTTCCATCTAGAAGGATAAGGGCAGCAGATACATGGGAATACCACTACCTGCAAGTTCCTCTCCAAGCCACTAACGTACCTGACACAGAAATATATTAAATTCTTCACTGTCACTAGGTCAAAATCCTGGATTATTGCCCTAACAATAATATAGGTCTGTCAACAGCACATGAAATACAGAGGTTCAAGGCAGCAGTTCACCACCCCTTGGTGGCATGATGGCTCAGTGGTTAGCACTGCCGCCTCACAGTGACAGAGATCCTGGTTAGATTCCACCCTTGGGCAATTATCTGTATGCAGGTTACACGTTCTCCAAGTGTCTGCATGGGTTTCCTCCAGCTTCCTCCCACAATCCAAAGATGTGCAGGTTAGATGGATCGGCCATGCTAAATTGCTTACAGTGTCTGGGGATGTGCAGGTGAGGTGGATTAACCATGAGAAATGCAGGGTTACAGAGGTAGGGTAGTGGGTGGGTCTGGGTGGGATGCTCTTCAGAGAGTCAGTGTGAACTCGATCGGCTCAGTGCCCTGCTTCCACACTGTAGGGATTCGGAGTCTCAAGAGCAAGTAGGGACGTGCAATAATTGCTGGCCATCCAATGATGTCCACATCTCACGAAAGAACATAGCAAAAAAGACTTTGCCAATTGTTGTGGGGCTAAGAGGGGCAAGACAGAGGGGAGGAGACAAGATGAAGAAAGCCATATCCGGAGTATTGGTATGAACATGGCACCGTCCAACAGCTGCAAACTGACAGCAAAATAAGATGGAAGTTGAAGAAAAGGGATGATTCAGAAATGGAACATGTGAAAACAAAGTAAGACTGGAAATTAGAAGCGATGATGATTAAATTTTTCAGATTTGACCAAGACCAGGAAATTTCTATCTATCATTTGATTGTATTGATGTGAGCTGAGAGAAGGGACTGGAACAAAGACAAGAGTATTTTCCTTATAAATTATTTTGCATTGCATTCACAAAGTAAATGGTTCTTTCTAGGACCCCTTACCGACTCAGCTTAAATGGGAACAGTGGTTGTCATATCTACAAGTGAAGAAATCAGAAATGTTTCGACATTTTAACTGATTCTGCTCCAAAGGATTGTACCAAGGAAATAATAATATTTGCCTATTACCATGGGGAACTTGTAGATGTTTGTTTTTAAAACTCCAAAAGTACCAAAATTAAATGAGTAGCCATTAGTCCAAAACAAAACAGAACAGGGTTTGATGTCACAATGAGGCGGTCTTAAAATACCTTTTCACTTGATGAGTTTTCTTGAACTTTAATGCGCCTTCGTTTCTTTTTCTGAAGGTAGCTACGTTGATTTTCCTCAGCCTCTTTCTTAGATGCTCTGCACACAAATGTAAAATTACATATTCATCTTTGCTCAAACCTGTTGAACTTGGGAGTTACAATGGCAAATATTTGTGCCCAAGTGACAATTGCATTTCTGCCAGAGGAAAAACGTGTGCCGGAATCAGTCAACTCTGAGGCAATAGGTTAAAAACACAAATTTCAGAAACTAGAAACAGGATCCTTCCCAGTATAGTGTGAGTAACATACAGCATACCAGAAGCATCCAAATAAACAAAGTTAAGGAAATAAAGGTTTTGAAACCATAGGCTAATTACCATCTGTGGTTCTGTACTTATCAAATAGTGACAATAAATATGCGGAGGCGTTACATGCACCATAAAACAGGAGGAGGCCACTCAGTCTGTCAAGCCTACTCCATATTCAGTTAGATCACTGCTGATCATCTCAGCAATGCCACTTTCCCATATGAGCTCCATTTCACTTATTGTCAGTAGTTTGCAGAAATCTTTTTTCTGTCTTGTTCACAGTCGATAATTAAGCTTCCATTGGAATTCTCTACTCCAGAGGACAAAGATTCACCATCCTCTGCATGAATGATTACCGCCTCAACTCAGTTTTAAATAGTTTATCCCTTACTCTGAGATTATATACCCAGTTTTAGAATCACCAGCCAGGGAAACCCCTCATCTACATTCACCTTGTCAGGCCCAGCAAGAACTTTCTAAATTAGAATGAGGTCAGCCGTCATTCTTTGAAACATTAGGGAATTCAGACCCAGTATCCTCAATCTCCCTGGTAGAATAATCCCACCATTTTACGAATTAATCTGGTGAACCAATGTTATGCTTCCTCAAAAGGCACGTATACCCTTTCTCATATAAGAGAGCCAGAACTATACACAGTATTCCAGGTGATACATTACTGTGGTTGCATGAGCTCTACACGGGATTGATGGGCCAATGGGCCAAGGAGTTACAGATGGAGTTTAATTTAGATAAATGTGAGGTGCTGCATTTTGGAAAAGCAAATCAGGGCAGGACTTATTCACTTTGTGGTAAGGTCCTGGGGAGTGTTGCTGAACAAAGAGACCTTGCAGTACAGGTTCATAGTTGCTTGAAAATGGAGTCACAACTAAGTAGGATAGTGAAGAAGGCATTTAGAATGCTTGCCTTTATTGGTAAGTCCATTGAGAATAGGAGTTGGCGGGTGGGGCGGGGGTCATGTTGTGACTGTACAGGATATTGGTTAGAACATGTTTGGAGAATTGCTTGCAATTCTCGTCTCCCTTCCTATAGAAAGGATATTGTAAAACTTGAAAAGGGTTAAGAAAAGATTACAAGGATGTTGCCAGGGCTGGAGGGTTTGAGCTATAGGGAGAGGTTGAACAGGCTGGAGATATTTTCCCCTGTGGTGTTGCAGGCTGAGGGGTGACCTTATAGAGATTTATAAAATCATGAGGGGCATGGATAAGGTAAATAGGCAAGGTCTTTTCACTAGGGGGAGGGTAGACAAAACTAGAGGGCATAGGTTTAAGGTGAGATGGAAAAAGATTTAAAAAAAGGAACCTAGGGGGCAACTCTTTCCACACAGAGGGTGGTGCATGTATGGAATGAGCCGCCACGGCAAGTGGAGGAGGTTGGTACGATTACAACATTTAGAAGGCATCTGGATGGGTATATAACGAGGGAAGGTTGAGAGAGATATGGGCCAAATGCTGGCAAATGGGAACAGACATATATAAAATATCTGGTTGGCATGAACGAGTTGCACTGAAGGGTCTGAATCGATGCTGTGTATCTCTATGACTCTATCAAGACTTACTTACTGTTGTATGCAAATCCTGTGATGAATGCTAGCACACTATTTGCTTTCCCAATTGCTTGCTACACACCTGCATGCTAGCTTTTACTAATTCATGAACAAATACACGCAGGCTCTCTTCTGACACCAGCGCTTCCCAACATGTCCCACTAGGAGATACTTAGCATTTTTGATTTCTCTATCAAAAGCAAAGACGACATACTTAGCCACATTGTATTCCATCAGCAGTGTTCTAACCCAATCACAGTTTGCCCAATCTTCTTAAAGTCTCCTTGTATCTTCCTCAACTTGCATTCCCACCCAATTTGGTGTATGAAAATATGAAAACATAGCAACTAGTCCACAGATTTAGATCACGAATACAGATCATGAACAGCAATGGACCTAGCACCAATCTTTCTGATATTTCAACAATAACAAGTCTGCCATCTTGAGCATAATCCATTTATTCCCACTCTAATATCTGACTGTTAACCAATTCTCAATCCATTCTTGTATTTCCCCAATCCAGTGTGCACACATTTTATTTACTAACCTCTTGCGCAGGACGCTATCAAAGCCTTCTGAAAATTCAAATACAGCTTAGCCATTGGTTCACTTATAAATGCTACGAGCAAATTCTCAAAGAACTCCAACAGGTTTCTCAAACATGAAATCCACACCGACTCAGCCTAATTTTACCTCCTTTTAGCTGAACGTCCAAATATTACATCCTTTGTAAGACATCATAAAGTTTCCTCACTCAATGTCAACCCAATATGTCTGCAATTCTCCATTCTCCCTCTTCTTCCTTTTTTAAACAGTAGGGTTACATTTGCTACTTTCTCATCTACAGGAATGTCTTTTTAACTTTTCTCATCAGCTACAGTTGGGCTTTTGCACCTTAGAAGAACGTGTATCTGTTGTAGGCTGTGTAGCATTTCTTTAAAAATGAGCCACTGCCTGTCTACTGCTACATCTTCTGGTGCATTATCCCAATGCACCATAGCCATCTTATCCTTCATAACTTCCTTTGTGTCAAGATTCTAGCTTCAGAATGAACTAATCTGCATTCAAGCTTAATGCAAAATTCTGTATTTTGACCACTATTTGCCAAAGGCTCCTTTATAGCAAGGTTATTAATTAGCCATTGCTCATTGTACCCTAAATCAAAAATAATCTGCTCCCTAGGTCGTGAAGCCAACTACCTTGTAAACACTGAAGGAAATTCATTTTCTAAACCATTAGTGCTGAATTGGTTAACCACTAACTCTGCTGTATTACCCATGTTACACACACAATTTAATTTTCTTATTTATACCATTATACTAACATTACCACTACAGTTTAGTGGCCTATATAAATAACTTCCCTACATAAACTGCCCCTTGCTTTTTTTTTTAAAATAGCTCCACCCAAACAAATTCTACTTTTTGTTCATTTGATCCAAGATCCTCTCTTACAGATATACTGATCACGTCCCTTACAAGTACTCTTCTACCTCGTTTTCGCCTATTCCTCCTAAATGCAGAATGTACTTGGATGTTCCCTTCCTAGTCTTGAAGAATCTGTAGTCACATCTCCATTATGGCAATTAAGTAACATCCATTTACTTCAACCTGCACATTCTAATCAGCAACCATTCTGTAAATGTCATGTGCATAAGAATGCCTTTAATCCTGCTTTTCTAACACTATATTTTATTCTGATTCTATTTGATGCCTGCCTATGCTTTGCCTGCCTTTCTACTTTTCTGCTTCCTTTCACTGGTTTTGCTTCCCTCGAATCACTGCTCATGTTTCCACCCCTCTACCAAGCTAGTTTAAACCCTTCCCATCTGCAATGAAGGAATCTCCATGAAGAAGTCAGTCGCAGTCCTAAGATGCAGTGTATCCATCTTGCCCCACCTGCCTCCAAACCAATCTTGAAGCCTCATAATTCCTCCTATTGCCTGTCTCCCATGCCAATTCTACAGCTCAATTCACCTACTCCTACACCCAATAAATTGAGAGATTGGATATAACCCTGAAATTATTGTTTTCACGATTATATTTTTCAATCTGGTTCCAGGATTTCACCCCTCACTCCCCTGTTGCTGTCTACATTGATATCCACATGGACCACGACCTCTGGTTGTTTATCTGCTCACAGAACAATGTCTCACAATCAGTGATCTCCTCGCTCCTGACACCAAGGTGGTAATAGATCAGCAAAGAGTTTTAACTACAGCTACAGAAATACTCATCTGCTTCTCTAAATAAAGAATCTACTATCATTGTTGGCGCATAGTGCATTTTACGAGTGTGAATGACCAGATCCTATACCTCGTTCTTGGGCGCTTCCGTTTATCATCAGAATCACTTTCGTCTTCCTCACTTGATCCAGACTCCTGAAAATCAGAATCACTCTCCTGCTCAGTAGTATTTTCATTACTACTTGCTGAAAAGAAAACCAAATGATTCTTAAAAAGTTGTTCATATTTACGGAGGAAATACAAATACTGGAAAAAAAAGACAAGATTTAAAGTTTGTATCAATTACATCATGTTAAAACCCAATTGATTTCCAAAGATTCTCCTACAGCAAGGTAAATTCACCATAGGGCTGCTCTCAGAGAGATGACAGGGGAGTTTAATCAGGGGTCACCATGCCTCAGTCAGGGGATGAGGACGATCTTGTTGGTGTCACTGCAAACCAGCCACCCAGCCAACTGAGCTAACCCTAATTCAGCATCACAATTGCATCTGCAGTCATTGTCTAAATAAAACACTACGTTATCTGATTTACCTTTCCTTCTGCTCTTTCGTGTGCCTTCTTTTGTTTGATCTTTGACTTTGGATCCCTTCTTGTCATCCCCAGATTCACCATCACTCATTGTGAGCTTATGTCTCAGAAGTCGATGCCTGTAGCGTGGTTTCTTTGTCATTTCAAAGTCAGAATCTGAATCTGAATCCGCTTCAGCATCCTCTTCCTCATCTACTTAAGTAATTGAGCACTGTTTTATTAAAGCCTTAACGAAAAAGTAGCATTCTAGGTCTAAAATATTAGATTGTACATATATTCAGTTGTTAAATATTATTTTGAACACACTTTTGCTGTAGACCAGGAAACCAAAAAAGTTTGAATCGGAAGCAAAATCTGTAGAGAAACTCAGCAGGTCTGGCAGCATCTGTGGACAGAAAGCAGAGACAACATTTTCAAGAGAAGGGTTATTATACCCAAAACATCAGTTCTTGGTTCACTTTCAACTAAAATGTTGAGGGAACTTAAGACGCCATGGTGTTACTAGACTATACAGCTGCCTTCTCATTTGAGACACACAACTGATGGTGGCTTAACCAGAGGATGACCATTCCTTTAGGCTAGAATAAGAGGTTGAGAAGGACAATCCTTCATAGCAACCTCAGTCAGTGAGATAATATATATTTCACAGAAAGGAGGAAAACAAAATCAGGAACACAGAGAAAATGAGGGCAGAAAGAAAGAGAACAAAATAGGAAAATAAAAGTCATCCACACTGTTGAGGTGCTGTTGTCTCACATTAGGTCAGACTGGGTAAGGATGGTAGGTATCCTTCCTAAAGGCCACCAAGTAAATTTGAACGGCACATGAGCACCAGTGGCACCAAGTTTCTGTGGTGTAAAGCTAAGTAGCTGAATCAACTAGTTTATAGGGTAATTTAACTGACAGTTTGAACCAAGGTTTTATTCATTCCTTTGGGATTCCAATTTTCTTCCCCCTTTTGTACCTTAGTTGAAGAAATCCTAACATTAACTACCATCTTTACCTACAATTTTAAATTAGTGGATAAGAACATTAGTTTCCCATCACATATTGCCCGACTAACACATGTGTAAAGTAAATAATTAATCCAAAAGTCCCTCATTTGGAACATATTTTAGTACAGCTGCAAAAGTGAGCCATCATAGTCCGCAAGGACCATTGGCATTTCTCTCAGAAACACCTGTTGATGAAGTTAACCTGAGAGTCAACATGGCTCCAGTGTGTGGCGAGGTTGAGAAGGTGAAGTCCTTGAAAATGGCCTCAGCACTTACGAGAACTGAGCCTTTGCTGTCAACAGCACTTTACAGTGCAAACCAGCCATCCAACCAACTGATCTAACAGAGGAAGATAGCAGAGAGTTACAGAACACTTGAGTTCTCGTGCACGAATCCCCACAAAAAGCTAACATCCATGTTCAACAGGTAACAGGGGAGGCAACTGGAATTTTGGACTTTACTTCACAGGGAACAGACTAATAGTAGAGAGGTTTTTCTAAAACTGTACAAAACACTAGTCAGACCACAGCTGAATAGTTTTGAGCTCTTTATACAAGGAAAGAAACTGGCTATGAAGGCAATCCAGAGAAAGTTCACTTGTCTATTTGTAGCTATGGAGGGACTCTCTTGTGGCCGAGAGGTTGAGTAGGTTCAGCCTGTAATAATTGGAATTTAGAAGAATGACAGGCAGCCTTATTGAAACATACACAATTTTTAGGGGATTTGACAGGACAGAATGTGGAAAGGCTGTTTCCCTTCATGGGAGAGTCCAGGACTAGAGGACATAACCTTAGAATAATGGGTTGGAAATTTAAGACAGACAAGGAGGGATTTCTCCTCTCAGCATGTAGTAAATAGAGTCATAAAATTGTATGGCATAGAAATAGGCCCTTTGGTCCAACTCGTCCATGTCAACCAGACATCCTAAATTGATCTGGTCTCATTTGCCAGCATTTGGCCCATAATCCCTCTAAACCGTTTCTATTCATGCAGCCATCCAGATGCCTTTTAAATGTTGCAATTGTACCAGCCTCCACCACTTACTCTGGCAGCTCATTCCATGCATGCATCACCTTCCACATAAAAAGTTACCCCTTAGGTCCCTTTTAAATCTTTGTCCCCTCAAGTTAAACCAATGCCTTCTAGCTCTGGGCAGTCCTACCCAGGAAAAAATACCTTGGCTATTCACCCTATCTATGCCCCTCGTGATTTTATGAAACTGTATAAGGTCACCCTGCAGCCTCCAAAGCTCCAGAGAAAATAACCCCAGCTTATTCAGCGTCTCTCTATAGCTTAAACACTACAACCCGGGCAACATCCTTGTCAATCTTCTTTGAATCCTTTCAAGTTTAAACAACATCTTTCCTCTAAAAGGGAGACCAGAATTGAATGCAGTATTCCAAAATGTAGTAACCAATGTACTGTGGAGCTGCCAACATGCCATCCCAGCTCCTATATTCAATGCACTGACCAACAAAGGCAAGCATACCAAACACCACCTTCACTACCCTTGTTTACGAGTAACTCAACCTTTAAAGGAACTATAAACCTGCACTCCAAGGTCTGTTTGTTCAACAATACTCTGCAGGGTCCTACCATTAAGTGTATAAGTCCTGTCCTGATTTGCCTTATCAAAATGGAACACCCCACATTTCTCCAAATTAAACTCCACCTGCCACTCCTCTGTTCATCGGATCAAGCTCCCGTTGTACTAAGGTAACCTTCTTCACTGCCCTCTACACCAATTTTGGTCTCATCTGCAAACTTACAAACCATTCCCTCCTTTATTCACATCCAAATCATTTATATAAATGACTAGAAGTAGTGGACCCAGCAACGACCCTTGCGACACACTGCTGGTCATAGGCTTCCAGTCTGAAAAACAACCCTCCACCACCACCTTCTATCTCCTACCCACAAACCAATTTTGTATCTAAATAGCTAGCTCTCTCTGGATTACGTGATCCAACTTTGCTACACAGTCTACCATGCAGAATATTGTTTCACTTAAGTCCATATAGGTATCTATCACTCTGTCTTTAAAAAACTTCATCAAGTTAGTGAGACACGATTTCCCACGCACAAAACCATGTTGACTATCCCTAATCAGCCCTTGCCTTTCCAAATAAAAGTAAATCCTGGCCCTCAGAATCCCATCCAACAATTTACCCACTACTTGTCTCAGGCTCACAGAACTAGAGTCCCCTGGCTTTTCCTTACCACCTCCCAATCTTCGGCACGTCACCTAAAGAATTCTTTACTGCAGAGCATTGTCAAGGCTGAGCTGTTCAGCATATTCAAGGCCGAAATAGATTTTTAATCAGTAAGGGAATGAACAGTTAAGGAAAAAAGGCAGGAAAGTGGAGTTGGGGATTATCATAACAGCCATGCTTTCTCAATGACTGAGCAGACTCGATGGGCGTACGGCCTATTTATGCTCCCATGTCGTATCGTTTCCCAGACATACAACCGTTCAGTGATATCATTCTGATTCAGTAGGTTGTGGATTCCAAAACCCATCCAGGGATGAGCATGTGATCTAGACAGATTAATCACCGACTCTTGGGGTAATAAAAACAAGCGCTGGAGAAACTCAGTAGGTATGACAGTATCCGTGAAGAGAAAAACAAGAGTTAACACTGAGTTTCCTTTGGAATTCGAGCACTCTTGGGGGTGCTGCCTTTCATTAAGTAACTGAGGATTCACTTGTGCCTTAGATTGATATAAAAGATTCATGGCACTACTCCAGGAAAACTAACTCAACTACTATAGTTCTTCTATAACACGAAGTTGCGTTCTTGTGCGACCTTGTGCTATAGAAAATCACAACAGAAAATCGGGTTATAGGGAAATTGCTACAGGGAGAAAAAAAAAAAAAAAAAAAAAAAAAAAAAAAAAAAAAAATCGCTACACTGTACAGTAGAAAGTTCACATTATCAAAACAGCTTCCCAAATTCATCAACTGCGTTACAGCCAATGCACGTTCATGAAACACAAACTATAGCAGAAATACCTCTAAATACTGAGGTAACTATTAATCAACAACACAAGTTGTTTATTACCTCACCTTTCATCTCAATACTTTTTATGGGACCTTGCTGCATGCAAATTGGATGCTCACCTTTCCAAGTATTACAACAATTCTAAGGCCATGAAGATAGCTGGGACTCAAAGAATGTTATATATCTTAAAGGACAAACTTGAATTTACAACACAGCTAACCTTTGCTCTCAAATCAAATTATTTTGCTTTTTCACTTCAGTTAACATGCATATTTTACAAATCCCAAACCCTTAAAAGCTATGATCTCCTACAGATGAATTAACCAATTGCATGCTTCGAGTTGCAAGAAGAGGTGGACGGGAGGGCAAGAAATCCACGGTGAAAGAGGAAAAAAAAATCAAAATTTCAAAATTCTATTTCACTATAAATAAAGACCTTTCAGAAATAACTAAAATTTTGCAAACATTTGCAATTCCTTTCCATTAAAAAGAGTCAAAAGTTTTGATCTATGTAGTATTACAGGCAAGATCTTTACCCTGGATAATGGGATAAATAGATTGTCCTCTTGCA